TGAAGTGAAATAAAAACAAAAACCCTCATTGCTTGGTCTCTTTGTTCACAGAGTCTGAATTTAGTTTTTCACTAAGAAGTTTGAACTAAACTGAATCAGAAAACTTTGATTTCATTGTATTACAATGAGAAATTCTAAGGATATTTCATTATCTAAGGAAACATTCATATAATGTTAGGAAACTGGTATCTTTTAATATTAAGAAACTGTAACGACAGTCTGACTGTTATCTATTTTTAGCAAAGCTTTTACAGAAAATGAATGTGTGAAGAATGGGAGAGGGCAACTACAGTTGGAAAAAGACAATTGATAATAGAAAAGGTTTCTTCAATGTTGAATGTTACTTAATCTTGACTGAGCAAAATGACTCTAAAATAACTGGAGAAGAAATGACTGAGCTTTGAGATGGTGATAGAAGTATATCTACCAACTTTTCTTCTGTAAAGAGGGTTCACAATATAGTCAGCAGAACTGAAATTACAGTCAAAATTGGGGACTTTTAGTCTTTCTTGGGAGTAGATGAGGGATGTTTTGAAAGCATCATAAAGCCTACTCAGTCATTTCAAGCAAGTTATCAGCTCTTCAGTCAGGATATTTTGCTTGTTTTTCTGGAGCACTCTGTGAATAGGTAAATATTTTCACTTTAACACATCAGTGACTGTTTTTTTCTTTTCTTTGCAGTGATTCTATTCTGTATGGCAGCCCTAATATTTCCAATAGGATTTTACATCAATGAAGTTGGAGGTCAACCGTATAAATTACCCAATAACACAGTGGTTGGGTCTTCGTATGTACTGTTTGTCTTATCCATTTTCTTTACAATAGTGGGACTTCTATTTGCTGGCAAAGTCTGTTTACCTGGCTGATGAATGTCTGGAATGCAGGACTTTATTTTGGAAAAGAGCAAGATATCAGAATTGCATTCTCAGGAGGATGCCTAAATCAGACTATCAAACACTGACTGAAAAGAGGAATGCTTTGACTTGTTCTCACTATGCACTTTGGATGAAAAAAAGGAGAGCCTTTCCCATAACCAAATACAGACCACGTTGACTAATCTCCTGAGCATACTTCAATGCAGTCAGGTCTGCACTGTGATAGGAACTAGTGAAGAATGCTTTACACTGACGAGCATAACGCCTCACATTACTGGACTGTTCCTGTTTTTAACGTCTAACAATTTGGAAGTCAAAGTATTTATGAACTTTGTGGTGGACCAGAGGGTTGTGGAGGAACTCAAGTGAGGCTGGCCTCACTGTTTAGGAGATTAGTGTTTTACATCTTCCTTCTAATGAGCAAAGCCTTTGGCACCAATGTGGATCAATCTTGCATTACTGCACCAAGAAGCCAATAGATCAAAACATGTTCTCTCAATGTATGTAACAGCAAAAAGACATACATCCCCTGCTCCCCCACTAGCTCTAGGAAACCCTAAGGAACATTTTAGAGGGGGATTTCGTCCTTATATTTATATAAATATATATATATAAATATATATATATATTTTGCTGATGCAGTATACAGTGTGTGTGTATGTGTGTGTGTGTGTGTGTGTGTATACACATATGTATATATATGTATATACACACAAATGATTCCTGGAAAAGAACTCAGAATGCTTTGCTAGCAAAACACTGTGGTGTGCAAAACTAGAACTCAATAGAAAAAAGCCATTTTTCTGAAGGCCACATAGCTGAGAGTCTTCAGTTTACCTCATTCTTTGTAGCAGCCCTTGATTTTAACAGTTTTTTGTAATAGGTACAAACGATCCCATGCCTTTCTAGGTGCAATTTTAAGTTAAGCTAAAATTCTTTTTATGGTAATTTATTTGTATATGAGGGTAGAAGGTGAGATCATGTCATACCTTAAAATCCTAATTTTGGGAAACTGACACTATTTAAATTATTAGCAACTGTTGTACAGAAAAATCTCTTTTTTCTACTTCATTGTTACATTAGCATTCATACATGTTCAAGCACAGCATATTACCATAGGTAAGCATTTCTTGTAGCACATATAAAATGCAACGTTTAAAGTAATGCAAACACTATCCCACTGCAGAGATGGATGAATTTATTTTCAGCTGAGTTTTAATTCATCTTTGCCAAAAAAATGAGCAATATAATTGTTAAAAATGTATGCCTTGTTTACTAAAGTTATTTTAAATGTAGATTTAATGGCCACCAAAATTTGGAGTAAATATTCCTCACTAAATTAGTTTTATTTTTCAATACAAGGATAAACCATTGAATCCACAGACATCTTAATTCACTACTAGGTTGGTGTTCCAGGGAAGCTGCCTACACTATCAGTATTTGTTTTCCAGTTAATATATAGTTTGCCTGAGATTAATACTGAAAACAAAAATTCTCTGTTTTAAGCACTGCTTCATTGAGCTTACTAGAGGAACTGCATTATTAATAAACAGTCACTTTAGGATGAAATTTTTGTTAAAATGAAATCAGCAGTTTCCAAAGTAATCACCAGATAAGCTGGAGTGTTTAACACAGTTTGCACAATTATTTTAAACTCTGTGCCATTCAGAACATAGTGGGTCCCTGCCTTTCTCCATTTCTTTCCCCTCCCCAATACAAAAATGTACAAAAATGTAATTTGTTGATGTATATTTTCTTTTGAAATTTTTGACCAAACTTGCCACTGGAATGGTTTCTAAGTATTTTTTTTTTCCAGTCAGCTCATTCACAGGTAGAATGGAATGTTTATGGATCACTAAATTTTTCCAAAGTATACTAATCTGTAAATACAGCCAAGCACTTACTCGGAAGTCATGGTTTAGCTATAATTTGGTTCCTAATTTAAGCCTTCATCTGCATGGGCAGTCTGAGGCCCCTAATGATAGAGGTGGAGGTAAAAGGCAGGGTTCAACTGCTTGATATCTTCAAAATTTTGGTGTTATCACTACTGTGTCCTAAGATAAAGTATTCATTAAAACTTGGATTATAAATTACATATTCAGAAATGTTACACTTGTAAATAGTTCAAGATTTTTGTGACTGGAACACAGCTGGGGGGTGGGGAGAGTTTCTAAGCTGCTAAAATTTCTTTCCCTTCCCGCCCCTCCAACTTACTTATTACAGTTATTGTAACATCATGTTAGGCTTTGGTTGAATGGATCATAATAATAATTTTTAAAAAAGCAAAAACACTTGGAGCATACCCAGACTGTGGCTGGCTGACTGGAAATGGATCTGATATGCCAGTGCTATTGCTATGAATTATTAAATGTTAGCAAAGGTTTATCAAATAGATTTATTAAATATTTGAGAATTTCAAATCCAGAAATAGATGTGGCCAAATGCATTTTAAAAAACCCAAACCAGTAATTGAAGAGACAGCTGTCAACAGTTGCTTTTAATAAGGTCACTAAGTACTATATAGTACAGTATTAATTTATAGCGAAAAATCATATCTTGTAAACTGTATATAAAACACTGTTTTATGGTGCAATCATTTGTCAAACTTATGTCTGTTACTTTTGTTTTAAAGTTGTGTGCATTCTTTTCATACCTAAGAGCATCACTGTAAAATCTGCTGAAGACTATTTATAGGTTTTATTTGCACAAGGTTTTGTTTTTAACTACAGGAAGTTCGTATTGAACATGCCTAAACATCTGTAGACTTTTTCAGTTCATGAAAAGCAAATGTTTCCATATGAATCTTCTCCAAAGGTAATCCCATATTTATGTTGAGTGTTTACATAAACTTTTCTGATTCTGCCATCATTTTTTAACTTTTTGAAGGACAGCTCATTTCATACATCACTAGAGAATTCCATTTATTCTTTTGCTTCTACATCCTCCCTAAGGTTTGATACCCCATCATAATGTAATTTGTGCACACTTTGTCATTTATTTGGCTAACAAAATGTAAGATTGGAAACTGAAAATACTTTCAGAAGGAAAAAACAGTAAATTTGTCTGTGTAAATCTTACTGAGCTCAGCTGAAATTATCACCTGGAAGCTGTTTGGCTCAGACCTGGGGAGGGTGTGCTTCCCAGAACACACCAGCCTAACCATTTAAAGTGTTTTTTGCGCTGTTAACCCAGCTGGAGAGCGATGCCGGTGTCCCGAAGGCACGGGCAGTGTGCCACACTCCCAGCCCCGGCTCTCCTGCCGTCCCTGTGTTCCCGAGACGCCGTTTAACCACTCCAGAACTGTAGGTTCCTGTTTGCCCACACACACACACACACACGAGAAAATGGAAGCTGTCCTTTAAAACCTTTGTGAAGGATGACCATAATGAAGGAAATAGTGTCTGCAGGTGTGCTGTCCTGCCTGGGCTCGAGGCCGGGCCCACCGCCTGCGCCCCCCGGCCTTTACTGAGGGTTGTTTTCTATTGGTTAGAGCATTTTTTCAATTAATGATTTCCGAACAAATGTTAATACAAACTGTATAAAATGAACATAATTTTCTTCACTTGTATTTTTGTTATTGAGCAAGTTTATCAAAATAAATTGTCTACTAAAGTGACTGGCTCCGGCTGTGCTGACTGGAACCGACCCCGCACACAGGTGTGCCCCCCCTCAGGTGTGTGTGTGTCCCCCTCAGGTGTGTGTGTGTGTCCCCCACCCTCAGGTGTGCCCCCCTCAGGTGTGTCTGTCCCCCCTCAGGTGTGCCCCACCCTCAGGTGTGTGTGTGTGTGTCCCCGTCAGGTGTGTGTTTGTGTCCCCCTCAGGTGTGTGTTTGTGCCCCCCTCAGGTGTGTTTGTGCCCCCCTCAGGTGTGTGTGGCCCCCTCACAGCAATGGTCTGTCCCAGGTGTTGTGTGTGCCCCCCCTCAGGTGTGGCCCCCTCAGGTGTGTCTGTCCCCCCTCAGGTGTGCCCCACCCTCAGGTGTGTGTGTGTGTGTCCTTCCTCAGGTGTGTGTGTGTGTCCCCTCAGCTGTGTCCCCTCACGCCCTGCGGGGCCCCTCGCCTCCCGCCCACCGGCGCCCTCAGGCGGCGGGAAGCGGCGCACTGGGGCCGGCCCCGTCTCCACCGGCAACGCCGCAACAGCGGCGGGGACCGGGCTGGGGCCGTCCGCCGCCGGTCCCGCACGAGGGAAGGGTCGGGGCAGTGCCGGGAGGCGCTGAGGGGTTTGGGGAGCCGCTGTCCCTGGCGCGGTGTGAGGGAGGCGGGTGCAGGGCAGAGCCTTTGCCCCGTCAGGTGAGTCTGAGCGGCCGGGACGGGCAGCGCGGGGTCGGAGGAGCCGGGGGGTCTGTCCCGGTGGGTGAGGTGAGTCTCGGGCACGGGTCGGGACCCGAGGTCCTTCCCCCGGGAGCTGAGCAGGGTCTCGGGAGGGCAGGGGCTGCGCTGACACCCGCTGGGAGCCGGAGGGCCCGGGTGGCCTGGGCTGGGGGGAGCCCAGCCAAGAGAAAACCGGGGTTTAATGGTTTTTTCACGACTCGTCCCGCGCCTAAACCCGAGGGCAGCTCGCCCACCCGATGCCAGCCCGGCCGGCTCAGCTCCCGCCGCCGCTCTGCGGTTTGCTGTGGTTAATCTCTTTTTCTGGTTGAGCTCTGTAGCCGGTCTCCCAGCAGCTGTGCACGCATATAATTAACTGCCTAAAATCCATTAACAAGCAACTCCTGCAGAATAGTTCCTAAATGTGTTTTCTATAAATGGATAATTGCAACTTCTCTTTATTTTTTAGTTTGCTGTTGTCACACATACAATATAAATTACCATTTAAGTTCCCGACAATATTAATACCTTTCTAATAGTGTTTGTTCCTGAAGATTTTAATTTTTTTACTCTCATGCTATCTTTTTATTTTTAACAAGGCTAAATCTATTAATATAGTGGCTACACACATCAGGAAAATGGCGTGGGTGTTGGACAATGATCAATATTTAGAAAAAGCTGGGTGAGGAAACCGTTACAAAATCTAGTTGAAACTTCATATGTAGCTAGAAAATAAATTATAATTCATGTGAAGTATATACTATATCCCTTCAAAACATCATATATTAACTTAATGCTTAAACAACTGACAAAGTGTAGAACAGTTCCTACAGAAAAAAACTTGAAATTACTTTATGACAGTACAGGAATATTATGGGTAATGAATCGTTCTCATGAAATTATTGTCTTGTAGGTTGCCAAAATTCCATCCACAGGGTCATCACCCACCATGGCAAGACTTTGCTGTGCCTCATCTAGGACCAGATAATGGATCGCTGGGAACACATAGCAGCGAGACCCAAGATGTGCTGGTAGGTCACTATTTCCTACAAAATAATACAATTTATAATGCATACCCATTATAAATTCACAGTGGGGAGTAAATAAACTGATAGACAACTAATATGCTTCCTTACATATATTTGCATATATACACAGTTAGTTTGATGGTGTGATCACTCATGTCATAAAACTGTGTGTAGTTTCTCTGCAGAGATGAATCTGAGAACAAATTGGGTAAAACAATAAATGAGACCAACTGTTGATGCTGTATTTTTTCCTCCAAAAGGCAAAAGCCAAGTTCAAACTCTTAAGTTGTGTTTGGGAGATGCTTATTTTTATTCCTCTCTGGTAAATCACTAGGGTATTTTTTATAATTCTTTTATTGAGCTCTCCTATTTCTTGTCTTCATTCTTGTCTGCTCTAAACTAAGCTCTCTTTTCCTTTTAGCTCACCATCTGGGAATATTGTGAAAGCTTCTTTTCCTTTGTACCCCACATTCAAAAGAGTATTCCAGTACATAAAGTTATGTTCTTGGACATGCACTGCCTAGCAGCAACTCTCCTTAGGGCTTATATTTTTGACACATTTAAATAGCACATCTAATTTCTCATACTGCATGTAATTTCTTCTCACTTGATCTGTAGAGAGGAGAAATGAAGAAAACACAATCTCAAAAGGTGCAAACAACAGAAGAATGGGTAAGAAACTACAATTTGGAATCCTTGCAATTAACATTAGAGTATCTGGTAAATGAAGGCAATATTATTCTGTTAGTACAACACTGCCTTTTCTTTAGTCAGTCTTAACTTGTGTGCATCTCTGATGTTAACCATGCATAGTGCTCCAGGAATTCAGGAAATGCTGGTGAAGAGATGGAGTTTACACAGGAGACTGTTACTGATTTTGAATGCAGACTTTCTGAGTAAGTATCCATCTTCCTTATTGTTCTGATGTGTAAGTGATTCTGTATCTCCATTACTGTAGATGCTGCATTAAATCTTAATTTGTTATCTCTGGGAACCTCAGAGTTTCTCAACATTAAATCCCTTCTGCTGAGATTGAGAGTAAGGCATAATTACACTCACTACAGTTGAAGTTTGAGTTTTTTAAGGAAGATGCTTATCAGCCAGGTGTTGATGTGAAGCAAATTTTGCTCATTTTAGAAAGGAAGCCAGTGCATGGTCAGGTTTCCATAGGTAACACTGTGTATTTGGGGATTGTACTTTGTGTAACTTGGATTAGCTTCAAGTCATGGATGCAGTTGTGATATGGAAGCTGAAGGTATTCTAAATGAGTCTTAAGTCTATACAATCAAGAAACTTAATTTAATTTATAGGTTCAATAAGCCATAGAATAATCTTCACCATTGATAAGAATGCTGCCATTTCAGCATACCTCACTGTGTCAGGCTTTTATAAAACAGAAGCAGCTTTTCTGTTTTGAAAAAGCAAAATGGATTTGCCCCTTTAAAATATTGGCTTAAACTTTCTGTTTGCCATCTTGTAGCACACGGAATTAAAAATTCATTGATTAAAGTGAAACAATTTTAGAGAAGAGGAAGCATTTTGTTTTACCTCAGGTTATAACTATTTTAATATTAAACTGTTGGAAGTTGTTCTGCTTTAGGGAAAGAAGTATTTAAGTGGTTAGCCCTGCAGCCTCCAGTTGTGTAAGGTCATATTTAACATATTTTAAAATACCTGTTTCTCACAGATTTTGCATCTGTGAGAAGGGGATGTGATGAAGACAGGTGGTTGATTGTTACACTGAGACCCAGTGTGAGAGAGTGCTGTAGCTAAATGTGTGTTCTGCCTTTTGTCAGAGTGATTGACCTATATCAGCACCGAATTCAGTGGCTGTTGCAGGACAGCAGAAAGGTAACTTGAACTTTGCAGTATATTTTTAGAATGAAACTCTATATGGCATTAAAGACTAAATTAACTTTTGAATACTAGTGAAAAGTGGCTTCCAGAAAGCCTTTGTATTTTCATTATTTACTACAAGTTCCACATCATATGCAGTGGTGTTGACAGTGGATTGTTTTCCCTGACCTTTCATTGGTATGCAGTTTTCTGCTTTCTAGATTTAGTCTTTTCCTTTCTCTTTGCAGTCTTAGTCATCAGGTCCTCTCAGCACAATTCAAATGGGAGCAGACAATGCTGAGCTTAACCTCTGCCTGGAGTGGAGCTTCTTGTAGTTCATTTTGCCCACTCTTGTACAGTTGCTTCATCACACTGTGCCTGGCAGTGCTAATGCTCAGATGTAACTCGCTCTTGAAGGGAATAGGAAAAATACAGCACTCCAAAATCTGGTTTCCACAAAGTTGCTTGAATTAGCCTGAAAGGGGCAAAGTTATTTTAATATTTATCCTCTCAAGTAATGAATAAGTTTTCTTGGGAAGAAGGTAATATGATTCACTGGTAAGGATTAACTGTGAACCAGTAGGACTCTCTTTTTTCTTCTTCTTTTCCTGCTTGCCTTTGTCAGTGTGTCATCTTTATGCTAAAAAGCTTAAAATTAAAATAAATACCTAATACTTGATCTAAAAATGGTGTTGTACAGAAAAAAACAGTAAAATTATTAATCTGTAGATAAGCTAATATTTACAGTGACTTTTCTAAGGTGTTTGGTGTTATAAAAGGAACTAAAGTCGGACTTTTGGTTGATGTGTCTCATTTGAGTTATGGATCTAGACTACTGGATTTTCAGAAGAACCTTTTGGTAAGTAATAGTAAAGCAAATTTTGCCTATTTTAACATACTAATCAAATTTTTGTGGAACTAGAAGCCAGGAACCAAATAGAAAAAAAATCTGCTTAAAATCCTAATATACAATAGAATAGAAATTTTCTGTTGTAGAAAAGTATGCTCCAAATGTCTTTGAAAGTGTATTATTTGTTTATGTCCAAAACAAATCAAGTGTATTTCAAAATATTATTAAGGGAAGTGTTACTGTTAAAGTTTCTCAATTCTACATTCTCTATAGAATAAACTTGCTTAACAAAACCAACTGTAAGAAGTAGAGACAAATTTTACATAGAGATATTTATAGTAAGTGTAGTTTTCTTTAAGTTAATGTTTTGTCTCAGTAAGGTCCACTTCACAATTTTTGACAGAACCTTGGTGAATTAATAGTTTTCTGTCATCTCAGAAGAGACTTGTCCTTTATTGTGCTCTTTGTTTTTAGAAAACTTTTTCAGTAAGGAAGGAAGATATAATGTGTATATTTGACACTTGGTACAATTAAATTTCCCACATTCAGGAATTATTTATCATCAATTTATATTATTTGTAGTTTTCATTTGTGTGTTTCAAATAAAACTCCTTCAAGAAAACTCAGTTTCCATAATCTGGTTTGCTTAGTGTGATTATCTGAACTATTGTTTAGCTGTCCATGATTGTGAGCTAACAATTTTTTAGAAATTGCATGGTGGGTGAATATGTGCATTCTAGATCTCTGCTGTTTCATGTGGTCATCAGCTGAAGAGAAAAACTGGTACTAGAACAACAAATATCCCTGCCTCATGCCCCATTAGCAAATTATTTGGAATGCCATAAGTTTGCAGGTTTTGTTTATATCCTTACTAAATATTTAAATCTCTGTGAGGTTTTTTTTGGAAGCTTTTTTAGTGGTAGCTGAAAATATTGCTGTCACTATTTTTAGTCTTTTGCATAATAACCCTGCCAGAAGCAGCATGGATAGTAATGCATTCATCATTTTTTTATTTATTAGTGCTTAATAGATGAGCAGCTTTGTTATAAGAAGCAATTGTACTGCCTCTCATTCAGTACAGAAATTTCACCACTGTGGGAGAGTCCAAAAACCATCAATGTTCATGTGTAAGTTAATTTCTCTGAAAAATCAAGGTGTTTAGACAAGGTCTCCATTTTATTTTGAGCAATCTCAGGTAGGTAATAATGTTTTTCATCTTGTGCCTGCAGTGATTTTAAGAGGGGAGAAAAGCCATGAATTTGACATGTTGTTGGTGGTTTCAAGATGGTTTTCACATATAAAATACCTTAGCTGCTCCTGTGGTTTGTAGCAATCTTTGTGATCTATATTATTTAGCACCTAAATATTCTTTTTCTTGTTTGCCTCTCCTAGGCTACATGAAGCAAGACAGTGGGTGCAAGAGCTGGAGCCTGGTCCAGGCTGCAATTTGCTGAAAGCCTTAAGGCATGTCCTTCCAATGAAAGAACTGAATTCCTTGGTTCTTATTGTAGGAAGCTGGTAAGTTCATTGTCTGTCTTAACAACCAGATTTAACCTGGATACAGGATTGGTACAAGAAACTGAACTTGATACAAAAATAAATAGAAAATTCAAGATCTGCGTATTACATATTTTTAGTTTATACCTTTGAATTCTTTTATTTCTTCCCTTTTTTTACTATTTATAAATCTCATTTCTGTTATGAAGCTATGTGTTTCCTTTGCAGATCACTTAACCCAATAATCTATTGAGGGCCTGCTAGCTCTAGTTTTACATCAATTAAATGACCTTAAAGATGTCACTGAAAGAATCCACACCTCTGGGAAGATTACAGGATAAGATAGATTTTGCTATAAAATAGCATTAAGCATTCAGAGATTCTTCTCTCTGTGATCTTTGTAGTGCCAATAGAGAATTTAAAATGTCTGATTAAATAAATGAAACCAGGTGAGATTATATAAGTTATAGACTTCTGTGGTTCTACTGTCATAATTTGAAAATTCCAATATTGGAGTTGGGATTACAAGGAAAAGACTACAATAAAGATTCTAGGAGTGTTACCTTACTCCTTGTTTACTAATTTTATTTTATTTTAGTGTGCAAAAGGGGATGGTGTAAGCTTGGCAAGATTGATACTTAGAGTAAGCAAACTTTAATTTCAAGTAATTTATTGAACACACAGTGTGGATTACAAGGTTCCAAGATTATCAGCTTTGAAGACAAAACAGAAGTTTATCCTATGTGAAGAATTCCTTAATTTTTGTCCCGGGCAGAAGTGTAGCTGCAAGAAAAGGTTTCTACTAGCCTTAAGAGCTCGGGAAATGATAACTATGTGGGACGCTAAGTTCTAAACATAAAGCCAAGTTTTACTTTCTTCGGTGCTTTTGGAAACAGAAGACATGCTTACATACCAGAGCTGAAAGGTTTTCACTGTTACCACAGTGGCCAAAGTCACCACTCCTGATCTTTAGCTTTCAGGGCTAGCAGGGAATACTTCAGAACATTTCATTCACAAGCTGTTATGAATGGGAATAGAATCCTAGTGGTTTGTTATCATCCAGTTTTTCAGAACCAAACTCCAGTAGTGACATCTCAGTAATGGTTGAAAGAGGGAGAGAAGGTGTGATAATGCTAAATACCTAAATAATTCCTATGATTTGTTATTTCTTTCCAAGGTTTTCTTCCATGTCTTCTTCAGTATGGCCTTTTTTTCCATTTGATTACTGCCATTGTTAATATTGTCTTTCTTTACTTTTTTTTCATCAGTCCTGATCAGTCTTTTGAAATGTTATGTGATTATGCTCAGCAGTGTACGCTGGGGAGAAAAGTGCAGATTCACACTGTTACATATGATTGCAGCAGCCCTGCCTCTGTTGTAAGTAATTGTGTTAATACTTCACTTCCTGCAGTGCATTTTTTTCCTATTCAGCTGAAATGCCTTCTCTCACAAACTTGTGGGGAAGCTAACCTAATCATTAGATTTCTTGAATTAGTGTTTGGTTCTCTTCAGAACATATTTGCAGACATGAAAAAATTGCTTGGAGCATCATCTTGTAACTTGCTTTACTCAGTTTTTCAGCCATACTAAAATGAGACTGGTATGCAAATGATGGAAATATAATTATTTTGGCTTTCTCACCGTATGTATTTCAAATATTCTTTTTCTGTCTCTACTAAGAACTGAATACCAACAACCCACATTATCAAAAGAGACTTTCAAGTCAAAGTAACTGTTTCTCTTTCTATTTCTATATGAAGGCAGTTATAAAGAACCTTGCAGAAGCTGTAGGAGGCCATTATCATTGCTACTCTTCCAAGGGAGAGGTAGGTGACAAGGAGAGAGGCAAAGCATTTTTCTCTCTTGCTCATGATTCTTCACTTTGAGAAGGTAAAATAATTATCACCTGAGTAGAAGTTGATAGTAAGAATTGGTGCTGAAAGTCTCTGTCATAGAAATGCTGAGAATGTGCTCAATAAACCTGTGGTTAGTTCTTTCTGCAACTGAAAACATTTCCTAAAAGTGCAATAAATTTTGCGGTTATTGTTTACTGACTTATGGCTGATAAAAGCAATGCCTTACTGCAGAGTGATTCAAAGTAATAAAGTAATATCTTGTTTATAAATTATTACTAATTTATATGCAGAGCATTAGATACATTCACACACAATTCTGCCATGCCAGGCAGTCTTGTATTGATGTTTGCCCTGTAAAGTAAGAAAGCTGTTTTCAGTTGGTGTTTGAACAATAGTTGACATATTTTTCCCCATTTGTTTTATAATTGCAGAATTTTGATAGCAGTGATTTTCATCTGCTACTTCAGGAATCCCAGAATGCTAAGGACCTGCTCAAGAGCATAAAACAGAGTTTTCAAAAAACAGTTGGTGGCTTGCTTGGTAGTAAAAGAGCAGATGTATGTATATTTTTATTTTCAGATGTACTTTGAATAATTAGGTTTAGAAATTTTAACTGTCCACAATATGAAAAAATTGTATTATTGGTCAGGTATTTTGATATGTGAACTTCGAGTATTCTCTATTGAAAATCAATTGTTTGGAGGAAATTAAGAACAAAATCAGTAAAGGAGACATTTTACTAAATATTCTTCAAAATGCATTAAAAGAACATTGTCCTGTCATTGTAATGGGAATCTAAGGAGCATTAGCCTAACTCTATACACAGTCATATAAATGAGGTTCCAACACTCTTTTAAATTGGTGAAAAGATACTTACTCCTATGTGATTTAGTTGGACATTTGAATCCACTGCAAACTTATAAGGTCTTGTCTTTGTAGCACTGTTATACAAGTCTGCGAGGAATTTTTTTGTGGATAAAATTTCTAATTATATTTCCCCTCATACTTCCTATGCTGTACACATATATTTTTTTTTCCTCTTCCAACCTCATTGTTACTAAGGACTGTGTAGACTAGCTGTGCAGCAGAAATCTGAAATGAGTTAGAAAATTCTTTATCCCCAGTAAAAGCTCATTTTTAGGAGGACCACTGATAGCTACTTTCAAAGCATTTTGCTCATTGGAATCCCAGCACTTTAGTTTTAATTATGTTCACCAGGATTCCATTCTGGATATTTTGAATTGAGGGTAAAAATAAATTATGTTGACTTTTAAGAGCTTTTCTTGAAATCTGTTTTAGGTTTCCACAGCATTTGCAAATACAGCACCTTCTAGCTTCTTCCCAAAGCCTGCAAAGCACAAAGCACCATTAGATATTCAAACACCAGGCATCCTGACCAAAACCTCAGCAGACTGGTTAAAGACATATGGATTGAAAGGTAGCACAGAAAGAAAAGCTTAACAGGTATGAAACATGAATTAAAGACAGAGTATGTGTTTCATTTAATGTACTTTTTTTCTTCCCATAGCTAAAAAGTTAGACCTTTATCAAGTTCTGGCTCCCAGTGCTTTCTCTCCTGTGGAAGATTTTGTACCTATTCTTAAAAAAACAGTGTCATCAACTCTACATGAGGCAAGTGATGAGGAACACTTTCCCTGGGTTTGTGGGTTTTTTTCTTTCTATTGCTACATCTTTCTAATTTAAATCAGTACTTTATAAGTTAGCTGAAATTCTACACGCTGAAATTTGAGTCATAGATTCAATTCAAATACTTAATGTCATTCTTAAGAATGACCCAGAAGAAATTCCATGTTAGTCTTTCTTACGCTGGGCTCTGTAAACAGTTAACTCTGCTTATCCTTCTAGAAAGTGATGACACAGTTTGAGTGGTATGATGGAACTGTAAAAAATATCCATGTTGACGTGCCAGTATTGTACAACTATCAGGTGAGTTGTCTAACACGATGTGGCCTTGTCAGGGCTAGACTACCATCTAATTATTCCTCATTAATTAGATTGTTAGCTAAGTATTGCAGGGATTCATGTAGTGATTGTTGAGGATTTCCTTCTAGATCAGAGTGCAGGTCATCAGAGAGGGGGACAGGTTTAATGGAAGAGAAGCTATCTGGGATGTTTGCAACCAGGGTTTGCTATATAGTAGTCTGTCAGTCCTTTTGCTTTCCCACTTCACTGGCAGTCCTGACAAAGGGCTGTGGGAATGTTTCCAGTCAGGGCAAATAATTCATTAAAGCAGGAGGGGTGTGAAGTCTGTGGAACTCTACAGCCAGACCAAAAGGAGAGTGTGAAGTGGCTGAAATGAAAAGCAGTTTCTTTGGCTTCTTGCTCACTGGGAGATGCTTGTGTTTTGTACATGTTCAATTATAGTTTTGTTTGTGAGTTCAGTGTCCTTTTCTAGCTAGATATGCCCTCATATAATACCTGCATAGACTTGGAAAGGTCATGGTGTATAAAGTTTGGACAAATTACCTTAATATCAAATTGACACTATTAAAGAATTACATGTATTTGATAATATTGTGTTTATGTTAAATTATGTGTTTTGTTATGAGCACTGCCTAAAAATGCTATTGAAAAAAGGGTAAGCTTGCAAAAACTGTATTTTTAAAGCATTTTCTTTTCTTTTCTTGATATGCCTGAGCATTGTTTTGAAATATGGTGGCAAGAGGAAAAATGGAGATACAGACCTTTAGATTCTTTGTTGCTTTTTTATCACTATGTTTTTTTCATGGACTGTGTTCTCATATCTGTACTAAGAATGAAATGTCCTATCTAAATGAATGAAAAAATTTTCATTACTATGCTATTATGTTATTTTTGTATTAAGCATTTGACAATAAAAGACTTGAACTTTCTATTTTTAACATAGATTTTCTTTATTTATGCATAGAAACTCCTTGCTAAAATGGTAAGAATCTATGAGAAACGAATTGACTGGCTATCTGTTGCCAGCAGAAGAATATGGGGAAGTGTTTGTGAAAGAAGGTATTGTATTCAATTTTGGGGGTTTTTTTTGTGAGGTTTGAAGTCTTAATGTGTTTGAGGAAGGTGTTTATTTACATCTTGTCTGAGGCCTTACCCAACCTCAAATGCACATTTGCTGTTTTCCTGCTTACAATCCTTGAATATGGAGTTTCAGACAAAAGGAAGGTGGCTGAGGCCCCTGTTACTAGAGATTTTCTTGCTTATTGATTAAGGATTGAATTAGCCCATCTGGTCACTCTGTTGTGCTGGGAACTCACATCCCACTGACTGTCCATCACATCTGTGGGTCTTTTCAAAACTACTGCTCCCAAATTATCCCATGTCCATTAACTGTGACCATCCTGCACTGCCTCTGCATACAAGACCTAAAACTGACCATGCTGAGCAGCTCCTCATTAACACTTCACTCTCAGCAGGTACCATGCTCAGTAACATCAGTCAGTCTGTACCTGAACAATACTCTGGCACTGATGAGCTGAGAGAAATCTTAACCATTTGTCTTTGGAGTAATATTCCATATGTTCCTGGAGTGTTGGCTGGGAAAGGAGAGTGAAGTATCCAATAGCTCTCCTTATGGCAAACATCCACACATTCCAGGAGGGTTTTAGTTACTCAAGTTCAGAGAAGGAGGAGCTGTTTGGGGTTCAGGAGCCATTATTGGCACTAAGTAGCCAGTACCCTGACTATTCCATAGTTTAGGAAAGATAGAAATTTCCATTACTGTTTCTATTTTTATTTTTTAAATGTCACCTGATGTTTTGCAGAATTTTTAAAAAAGTAGATTCAGTGTTTACACATTTTGATGCATAGGTAGAAGATATTTTCCCTGATAAGTTAGAGTGCACTGAAGATAAGACTACATAATTAAATAAGGCTTTTTTTTTTAATGAATAGCATTTTTTTCTATAGGGTAGTTGTGCTTGTAGATATATCAGTGACAAACTCTACCTACATCTCTCATATCCAAGATTATTTGCGACTTTTACTTGAGGAACAAATGTCAAATAAGGATTACTTTAATATTATAGCGTAAGTAACTATTTAAGAGTCTTTTAAAATAACTGTAGTGCATTGCAATGAAAGAAGTATGCTGAGAGATTGTAGTAACTAATAGGCATGTTTTAGTATTTAATGTTTTCTAGTGAAGTATTTGCCAGACTAGCACTGATTGGTCCGTATTGGGTGAGTACATGAACCAGAGGTATGGAGACCAGATTACTAATTAAAAATCAGTTTTTTGGGTGAGGGTCACTGGAATTGATTGCATCATACCTGTAACAAATACTCATCCTGCTATATTGTTCATAACAGTATTAATTCACCTGTCAGAAACTTACCAGAAGAGGATATTGATGTCTCAGGTACCATAACTGAGAGCACCCTTTAAATTTTACAGTAACTCAAATACTGTTTAATATATTATAGTGTTAAAACTCTGTACTCAGCACTGGCAGGCAGAAACAGTTGCTACTGCTAAGCAGCTGCTGGGCAGGTGTCTGGCAGGTAAAAGTAAGAGCCAGCAGCTCATGGAGTTCCTAACATGGTGTGAGAACACAGCCCTTATCTCACAACAGAGATACAGGCAGCAGCTGAAGGTTGGAGTTCCTTTTTCACAATCCTTTCTCTGAGCTTTTCCCAGCTCATGTAGGATCCTATTCAGCAAAGAAAATCAAATAAACTTTGGGTGATGCATAAATGTGGATAATTAAATGGTTTGAAAGAGAAAATAGTTGGCATCGGGCAGTTTTATATCTGTAATACTCCAAATTAGATTTTTCTTATTTTATCTTTTTGTTTGTTCTACACCATAATCTGAAAATTAATTGCTGTTATCTTTCTGTGAAAGATTTGGAAGTGACATTGTGCCTTGGCAGCAGGAACTGTGTCCTTCCCAACCAGAAAATTTAGAAAAGGCTTGGAGGTAGGATCAAATAATTATCCCATGTATGTGAATTTCACAGGGAAAAATTGCAAACTAAAACATTGTACAAGTTTATCATGTTACAAAAGTAGGCTGCCATGTTCTACAGTGATTGTTCATAGTGTTTTCTTGTGAAAATAGCATTGTAAAAGTTAATAAGCTTGAAGTGACTTCATGTTTCATGTGTATATGTAATACATATGTAGACAGATACCAAAGTGTCTGAATAAGGAATGAAGAGGTTACACAAAGAATTGAAAACTGCTTCAAGTTCAGTTGGGATGTGAGAGCTAAACAATGGGGTTTTTCCCACATGCTTTGGAAAAAAATCCCAGGTTTCTGTTTGTGGAGTCACATCTTCTGTGTTCTCATTATAGCTCTGCTTTCATTTCTGTTTCTGTAAGTTCTACTATATGAATATTTTTCCACATAAAATTAGGAGAGAATTCTTTCCTCTTTTTGTTTTGTATCTTACTTTAAAAACTAGTTTGCTATGCTGGCAATACAGAAACCAGAACAAATAATTTGTTATAAAATCTTTTTGCTCTTTGTTGTTTTCAAAAAATTTAGGCTCCAGTGCGGTGTTATTTAAGATATTTAATTTTTTTTTATTGCTTTGAGCTGAAAGAGTTTTTGTTTCTTCATTCTTTGAACTGTAAACATCTTGGTGTAGGTGGGTGTTGGGCTTGGAGTGCAAGGGCAGTAGAAATTTCATGAGTGCGCTCAGAAGAGCTGTGGAAGTTGACTTCAAAGACAAAGATAAACACAAATCACAGGGACTCTACCTGCTGACTACTGGAATACCTGATCAGGAGACAGTGAGTGTCATCATAGGCAACTTTTCTCTAAGTTCCTACCAAAATTAATATCAACTTTGTTTTCTTTCTTTTTTCCCCATCCCTTTTTCTCTTACAGCCAGTTATCACAGTTCATTGGCAGAATATTCCTTCTTTACATATGTAAGGCAGCACAATTTTCAGGATCCCAAACCTCCATTTCTGCAATTGTTAGTCATGTGTAGGAGGTAGCAACAATTAACTATATGTAACTTACAGAAAATTCAAGACATGCCCACTCCAGCTTGGGGCATCATTTTGCTTCAGATTTGACTTGGAGCAAGCTGATTTTTTGTAATTTATCATTTCTGTACAACTCATGGAACAAATAATTTTCCAGTGGAACTCCACAGCATGCTCTGTAGAGACAACTCCTGTTTTTATCCCAGTAATCCCTTGCTAGGATCCGTGTTTGTAGTGAATGTGCTCCATGGCCATTAAGCTGTGTGCACAGCCTCAAGTTTCTACATGTGTGCAGTGAGGTGTCTCCTGCTTTTGTTACCAAACCTCTGGAAACTCTGGGCAGTCTTAAGAAATCATGAAAGGCCATATGTTGACAAGAAAATGAGGGACAAATGGACAGTTTCATCCCAACTTTTCTTCAGTGCAAAGCTAAATTGATGTCCACAATTTCTGTCTTTGGTTCCCAATATATCCCAGCTGACTTCTTGCCTGCAGTAGAGCTGTTGCTGTAACCAGCAGTAGTGACAATTGTTGTGTATCTGCATGGACTGAGGAGGCATTGCACTATTCAGGGAACATTCCTCTTCTGAGCTGCTCCAACTGGGAGCATTTGTACATCAGTCAGGAACCAGTGGAGCAGATGGAAGCTTGTCTGAGGTAGAGGCTCACCTCTGATGCTTTTTCTTCTCTGTCTTACAGCACACAATCAGTGCTTATGTGGCTGAGGCTTGCAGAGGTTTGGATTTACAGCTCCATGTCTGTCTGTTCAGTGTAACAGAGGGCACTGACTCCAGTGGGATTATTCCAGCCCGCTATGCCAGCCCAAGGGAAACTGCTATTGCTTTTAAAGAAATTGTACAGGCAGCCAATGGGAGGTTTCACTGGTTTGGAGAAGCAGGTATGAGCAAAGGAAAGTCAGCACATTCTTCTTTTTCATTAATGAAATAATATTTATTAATGCTTTTTTACTCCCAAATCAAGTAGTTTACTTTTTTTAAGATATGTTGAGAGCAATGAGATATAAACATAGGTCATAGTTTTATTGAGACTTTTAACCACACTGCAGAATACTATAATGCAGCCTTAATAAAGGAGTTCATTTGGGGTTTTTTTTCTACTTGAATTCATCATATTCTGTTAGCCTTTTTAAAGATGCTTTAAAATATAGTAATTGTTATTATAAGTCCAGATGATCAGGCTTGCAGGAAATAAAGGTTTTTTTATCTCTGCATTGGTATTTAATGTGGTACAAATTGTTGTGCATTTTAAAAAATGCTTATTTTGTACACTTTAAGAAACCCATGCTAATTAGCATCTATTTGATTATTAGGTATTTTTGAAAGTGATGATATTACCAGTATTATATCTGAAATGGAAAAAGCAAAGAACTATTCCCAAAAGGTATGAATTACATAGAACTTTGTAAATTACTTGTTTCTACCTAAAAAAAAATTCAAGTGTTTTTTCAGCTCACAATTCAGAAGAAATTGGACAAAACCCTTTTATGATGAGCAGGAATGTTCTAGAGTGTGGGAATAGTGACCATAGAGTATATATGGACTAGAAAGCACAACAGCACAGCAGTGAACAGTGTTGGAGTAGCCATGATTCCATACCAAATACAAGTTTACAGTTCAAGTGATTCTACTTGTTGTAGCCAATCCTGTGATGAATTCTTTTCAAGTAAATTAATTCTTCATTATAATGAAGTTATATATGTTATATGCACATATAACATACTACATTCTTGTAAGTCCCAGTGTAGGGAGGGCTTCTCATTAGCACAATGGCTTTGTCAATTCTAAACCAGTTGTTTTCTCAAGTGTACTGAGGGTGTAGAATTAGACTGTATCTCACCATATTCCATGCACATGACTTTTTTCCAAAGATATCCAACAGAATGACTGCAGCAGTACAGCCAGCCTGGCAGTGTGTGCCTCTTTCTTTAAAAAGTGTGCATAGAAAGAGATATGCAGTAAGAGCCTTGTCCTGAGGGCTCAGACCCTGTTGGATGCAAATCTGAGTCACAAAAGTTGGATTTTTCTAAACGAAGAGCTGGTGGCTATTCAATGACACGTAAAAGTACTTTGTTATTGTGTAACAATTGCTTGGTTCATATACAAGATATACTTAGTTCACCATCTTCCACTTTGTTCTAGCCTTGGGCTATGGACACTGCTGCCTTTTGGTTTAATCTGTTTGCCCAGAGCAGGAAGGGTTTCCATACTGTGTGTTTGAGCAAGCACAGCACAAGGGCCTTTCTGTTCCATTAGGGGTCTTAAGCATTGTGAGATAGGAATTCTATTTATTATTATAGTAGTAAATACAAAATACCTGTCTTTGAAGTGTCTGTTCCTTAAATTCCATGTATCTGAATTACTAAGCAATGTGGATTTCCATTTCAGTGTGCATTCCTAGTGGAGTCCTTAAAGCAGCGCTCAGTAAATCAGTCTGTGAAACCCCTCACACCAGAAGGACACTCAAATGTGCTTATGAGGAATGAGGAAAAAAAAACGCAGAAGGTGCCATCTCCTAAACCCACAGCTGTGAGTCTGGCTGGAATGGTTTGATATGGTCCCATTTTTAATATGCTGTGTGTTAATTAAAGATCCTGCCCAGCTATTGGATGCTCCTCTTGGTGAGAGAAGTGCTCAGCTGAAAATCTGAAGAAATAAGAGCAGCACTGTGATAGTGCTTTGAATTTGTTTGCATTCAAAATGCTACATATACCAAAAAATGCGTAATACTAAGTAATTAATTTTAATGGAACCACACTGTAGTGTCAAAAGGTGTCTAAATAATCCTTTCTCTGACCTTAAAAAGTAAAGTTTAATGCAAACAAAGGCAAAGCAGAAATGTGATTTGTTACAAAATTACATCTATTTTGCAAGTCCTTCTAGAAGGTACTGAATATTATGATGTTCTGCTCATTTACAGATGAGACAGCTGCAGATCAGTAGCATGTCTTTGGCCTCCCAGAGAGCCAGCATAAAACAAGAACAGCATTCAGGATTTGTTTCCTGCTTGCTGTGCTTATTTCCATGGAGCTGCACTACTGAATCCCCTGGGATTTTGCTAGTGTTTGTTAATTCTGACTATCTGTTTTGAGTAGGTGTGCACATCTGTAATATGCATAAAGAGCCAGTGTCTGCTGGAACTTTCAGTTCTGAGCTTTCAAATGGGAATGGCATTGTAGGTGTGGGAATGTAGGAAATGGGAATGTAGGTGTGGGAATGTTGCAAAGGCTTTGTAGGTCTTCCAGGCTGTCAGGCTGTTTTATCAAAAGTGACATATTCTCAACACCTCTTCACAAATGCAGGAGAAACTAATTACTCAGAGATGACAACAGAGCATAATTTTGCAGGGGTTAAACTTGGTAGAAAATGGATACGGGGTTGTCTGTAGATGTTTGGTGATACTTATAGTAATGCTGTATATTAAGTTAATGTATATTAATGTAGTTGCTTGAAGACTCAGTGTCACAGCAAGTCTTATACTACAGTAGGGTTAAACAAGTGCTTGTGCTGTTTAGCAGACTGCTCAATCTCTAGAGGGATAAGCCAAATCCAAAGGAGAAATTCCTCGTGTCAGCACTAGATTTTCAATAGTCACTAAAATGCTGAGGAAGATATTAAATACTGTATTCTATACAGCAAGGCCATTACCATACTAGGCTGTGCCTTCAGGTGGCAAAAATGGTCCAAACTCCTCTCCATGTAGATGTTAATCTTTAGGTTTATGATAGCAGATTATATTGGCAAGATAATTAAAACAGAGAAATTAGAATTACTTAACTCAGCAAGAAACTGCAAACTGATGTGTTGTCATGGCATTCTGTGGATTTGTAAAGCAGGAATTAAATAATAAAGAAGCATAGTTCCAGATTAGAATAATGCAGATACGATCCATCTGAAACACTTTTTACTTTTTTTGTTGTTGTTATTAAAGGTGCTTAAGGATGTTAAAGACAGCCATTGTGCAGAGAGAAATACTCCTGTAAGAGTTCTGGCATGGCGTCCTCCTAGTGCCAAAGCAGGAATTCCACCAGGTCTGTATGGATTAGGGCCTTTTTGTCTTCAGGTTCCTATGGGTTTTGCTGAAAAGACAGTACTTAAATTATAGATTTAAATTAAGACTTTAGAAACTCCTGGAATTGTTTCTTTAATCAGATTTATAGGAACCATCATGCTGTTTTGGAATTCCTTTAGGATGAGTTTTAGCTATGATTTACCTAATTTGCTTCTACACTGTGCAAAGAAAGAGCTCTGCAGAGCTGTGCAATGATTTCCAGGTCCTAGGATGGAATACCTGACCTTTATTAGAAAATGTCAGATGTGTGATGGAAAGTAGAACCCCACTGTGTCCCCCACCTGAAGCCATAAGTCTCAGCAGTTCAAAAATTTCTTATGTTATTGGTTTAATGTATACACTGCCACTAAATCTTTTACATCTCATTTTACCTAATATGCTGTTCCACTTGATTTATTTATGATCTAGTAATGAAGGAAAAGTACAACACCACTGTCAGGTTGAGTGAAGTGCTAATTCTTCCAGCTGCTCCTGGTGTATGAAAAGCTCTTAAACTGGTTCCAGTTACTGCTGGTACCTTAAAGCCCAATTCATTTATTCTGTTTCTTTTTTTTACTATTTGCCTGTGGTTTTATTTTGCCATCACTAACATTTGCATTTTATTTTTCTTTCCATTAGTCTTGAAATATCCTGATGTTGATATGTAGCATTGTTTACAAGTCTAGATTCATAGTTGCATCTGAGGTGCTCTGTACTAAGTTAACTGGTTTCTCCAACAAATATTATGCATGTTTGAACTTCTAATTTTTTTCAAACTAACTCCTGTGACATTCTTCCTGATGGTAATTTCTTATTTGTAAAAGTTTAATTTCTATGAAAGTTGCTGAAATAGTGCTGTAATATGATTTTTCTTAATTAGTATCAAATCAAATGAAGCATTTATAATTGTGGTAATAGGAATATATGAAGAGAAGAACAGGGTTGAATTCTTCTCATGTAAGAGTTTTATCCAGCTGAGCTAAATTAATGGGGTTTTTTATCTATTATTTTCTTGTAGCACAAACAATTAAAGAATGGCCTCAGACTGAGAATAAAGGAAAGCACAAACCCAGGAAGCAGCCAGAGCTTTCTGTGTCTGTATTTTACACTGAAGAAGGAAGAAATGTGGGTATGTGTTATCAGGATGGGATGGGTGAAGCCCTTTTCTTATCAGCTCTTCCATTATAAAACTGGCAGGATGGTAAGTCACTGATAACCAGGGTGCTTTGAACAGTGAGTGGGAGAGAGTTTCACTTACCAAATAGTGATAAGGATTTTTAGTTTGGATGCAGGTGTGTGGCACTTTTTGCCACCGTTGCCACTGATTTTTTGATTAGATTTTTCTTTTGTTAAGTCCCTTGGGATATTTTGGTCAAAGGTACTATGAGGAAAAGTGCTGTTAACATGGTTTAGTTGATTACAGAGGATTTGGTTTGGAATTTTTTGAAGGTGACAATTTTTTAAAGTAAGTGATTTTTTGGTATTTTGTTCATTTCTTAAATAGGTATAATACATCAGAAGTATCCAAAGGCAATGTGTGTAAGAAAATCAGTTTGCTCTGTCAAATTGCCAGAGGAAGAGGAAATCTGTTCAAGCAAAGAGGTATTTTTCTCCTTACTAATAAATTGCCATTTTGGAGCTATCAATCTGAATTAATGTAAACATTAATTGTGATTCTATACAATGTGTTATTACTTAAACTGTTCTAATATTTGCCAACAATCAATTGCTCTATTTGTTTGTCTTGCAAGTGGCTGACCAAGTACAGTATTAAAAAGCTTAAACTGGAATTGCCCAGACTAATGTTTGGTCCGAGCTGTACTCACCAGAAGACAACTGTGGAGTCTCTGCACAAGAAAGTATCAGCAAAATACTGCTCTATCTTCCCCAGTATAGAAATCAATGTAGGTTTTTGCAGATGTTAAATATCTACATTATTGGAAGGCTTTGTATATGTTTAGTGAATGTTGATTGATGTTTCTGGCTTTTCTCTCCACTCTTTCCTGTTCTTTCTAAATCATACTTCCACTAGCAAGCTAGAGAAGGTCTTTTATTCATCACAAGAAACCATTTAGCATGTTTGAAGTCCAAATTGCATATTCTTCAGAATGTGTAGCATCTCCTCCGTTCATACAGTGTGAAAAATAATTTTTAAAATTTAGGTTAAACTTTTCAAAATCATGTGTGAGTTGAAACTGGGAAAATGTTGGATCTTGATTGTTTCAGTTTGTTTATTGACTGGAGAGAAGCATAGAAAGTTAAGTGTAAGCAACAGAGTCACAGAATTTTTCCTATCATATTTTATAGATAAAAAGACAAAAATCTCCCTGATGTCCAATGCATATATAGTAGCTCAGCTCAGATTTCCTGAAGTAAGATGCTCTTGTACAAACTGAATTTTTCCAGGGGGTTGTGAAACATCTGCACTTTCAGCCTAAAGAACTGGAAACCTACACAGAGCAGCTGGAGAAGGTGCTGCAGCGCTATATCCAGAGAGTGCAGTGGCTTCTCTCAGGTACTGGTGTGCCTCTGGTTTCCTGTGAAGCACAAGTATGTACAAAACCTTCTTGTCTGCTGTTTTTGTTAGAATGGATCTGAATGTAACTCTGAACCTCCAGTGTGATTAAAGGTTCTCTGACTTGCATTTCATTGAAAGTTTAAAACTTATTTTTGTGAACACAAGATAATTCAGCATCTGTGCAGCTGACAAACATCTTGCTTGCTGACAAATAATTAGGTTTTGGACTTTGTGTAGAGTATGTAGAAGCTTATAGAGAGTAGAAACTTTCTATCAACAGAATATATACAGTAACATATACAAGCAAAATTACCTTTTCTGCATGTTTTGCTTAGAATGCGCCCTGCTTAGAAGTTCAGCATCACCACTGGTGAAGACTGTTTTATCTCTCTGTTGCTCATAAAGATCTTTGTTGGGAAATAGTTTAATTTTTTGCTGGATTGTAAAGGACAAATTATTTAATGCAAGTTGCTACAACTAGCTAGTAATTAATGCTTGATAGTGCTGATTTTGAAATGGCCAAACACTTTTCTATTGTTAACCTTTTAACTACCTAATTGCCACATAGATTTGACTTAATTATGTAGAAATGTGCCCAGAATTACCCCTAAAGACTGAAGATTTACATTATGCTCAATAAAATAAGCCTATGTAATTACTCTTAATTAATGTTCTGGCCCAGGAAGCCGAAGATTGTTTGGTACCATTTTAGAAGCAAATGTCTGTGTTTTGATTGATACATCTGGTTCCATGGGCCCATATTTGCCACCTGTCACAAAAGAACTTACCTCCCTTATCTGGGAACAGCTGAGAAAAAATGAAGCCAGGTATGGTGAATTACTGATAAAGACTGAAATCTGCACTCATTATTATGTAATCAGATTGCTTAATAATTACAGTAGTATAGCACTGAAACACAATTCAATTAATTATTGTATGTTAGATTATAATGTGCATGTGACAAGAGCTGCTTTTTCTGTTGCTTTTACCAATTTTAAGTTCTAAACTCTCTAAGATCTGGGCCTCTGCTTTAGGCTGATGCTGTTTACCCTTTCAGGCTCAGCATTCCCATAGATTTTCTGTTCCTGCAAAGTAAGATATACTTTTTGACTCTTCCAAGGCTGAGTATCTTAATCTAACACTAGGCTTTTTAATAGGGGGCTTGGTTGGGTTTGGTTTTTTTACTGTTGGGTTTTTGTTTGGTTTTTTTTTTTTTAATTTTATGTATTTAATTATTTCGAAACTGTCTTATCCAAAGTGATTCATTGTATTGGTTAGGGTTAAATGTTGTGGGTCATCTTTCTCCTCAGGTTTAACCTGCTGAGATTTGCAGAAAATACAGAGAGTTGGAAAGAGAATCTTGTAGAGGCAACTGATGAAAGCTGCCATGATGCTGTGCAGTGGGCTTCCACATGCCATGCTCATGGGAACTCCTGCATCCTTGCAGCTTTACAGGTTGGTGTGCCACAGCATCTCTAAATAACTGTATGGCTTTCATCATGAGTGAAGTCCAGTACAGCTGCATGACGTGTGTATTACAGAGATGCCCACTGAGTCAATTACTCTAGCAAATTTTCATAATTTTTAGTCACATGCTAGTGAGCCTGATTTTAAGACATTAAACAATTTTAATTCCCATAAAATATGATGTAAAAATCTTTTGTCTGTAGTTCTCCAAAACCAGTTAATTTTGTTATTTCAATGAGTCAATTTTTGGCAATGCCCTGCTTAAAAATATGTTGTCTTATGCTACAAATTATCTACTTAAATTTTCAAATTTATATCCTTGATCTCCTTCCCTAATAAGTGAAAATGAAAAGACAAAACTAAGGTGATTAATGATCAAATATAAATGTATTGGCAAATAGAAACTATCTTAAATCATTGGAATGGTGTTTTTGTTCTGAAGTATAGCATTTCATATATAAATGTACAAATTATTTAAGCTTATTTTCTGCTTTTCAGAAGGCTTTCAGTTTCCAAGGTGTAGAGGCACTGTATCTATTGACTGATGGAAAACCAGACACCAGTTGCAGTCTGATTTTGAAAGAAATTGAAAGATTGATAAAGAAGCAAGATATAAAAATCCACACCATTTGTTTTAGCTGTGCAGACAAGTATGTGATACTTTGCAAGAAGAAAACAAAAATCTCTTGAAATTACTACTTTATTCATTACCAGCATGGTAATGGGGAAGGTTGTTCTGACACAGGCAATTGCCACATGGCCTACATTTCATACAGGAATTTATAATCATATCCTCCAAGTTATTTGTTTTGATGTCATATCTTTGAGTTCTTAGGAATTCTTTTGCTGTTGCTTTCAGAAAATAATTTTCATAAGTAGCTTTCTACTTTGTGCTAACAGAGGAGCTGTTGAATTCCTGAGGAAGCTTGCTGCCCAAACAGGAGGGCGCTTCCACTGCAGTTCAGGAGCTGAAGATGGACAATTAGCAGCACACAGAATATTGACAGAGGGGCTGGATGATGAAGATGTATGTTAAATAAATTGGTTTGTTTCGTTTCTTTGTAACTTAGTTCTTCATCAGTAGAGAAACTTCACTTAGAAAAACAATGGGGAAAAAATAATACAAAACTTCTAAGATATTTCAGATTAAAACCAAAAAGAGAAATCTTAATATCTGTTTTTGCCTTTCTGCTCACTGCCTTGGTGAGGTGCCCAAGCCCTTGAAAGGAATAGACAGTGCAATACAGGTTTTGAAAGAGAAGTAAAAAATATATCATGTGTCTGCATGTGGTTTTAAGCTAAATTCAGCTTTTACTATCTCCTTATCCTTCCCATCTTGTGTTTAATTTAATTGTAAAATTCTTTTATGGTGCTTAGCATATTGATTTTCCAGCATGACACCTCAGGCATTACCACAGTAGAAAAATGTTACTGAACAGACCCAGGTTCAATCTAGGCTTGCTCTGCTCTCCCCTTGTAAGACCAAGACCTTCTCTGCAAGTAGGGAAATTTAGAGTTTAGGATCAGTTAATTCAGCTTGGGAAACAGAAAATAGTAAATAGGTGCAAGTAAAAACATTTTAACTGTGTTTTCAGTATCCAGTTTTCCCTTACTTTGAAGGAGATGATCTAAAGAAACTTACTGAAGAAGTAGCTAAAGCTAGAAGTTTCTTAAAGCAGGCAAAATCTTGGAGGTGAGTATTTATCAATAATTTTTGTATTTTATTATTTTGTGGAATGAAGACAAGAATATCCAACTCCCAATGTCTGTTATATAAAAAAATAGACCTGGAGAATTGTCTAGAATAGGAGTGAAGGACAATTAAATTGTATTGATCCTTATGTTTCTTCATTGTCACCCTTCCTAACTGCCAATCCAGAACCAGAAAGCACCAATTCAATAGGAAGAGTAGGCAAATGTTCCTGCAAAGAACTTTAAAATGCATTATACCTCCTCAGTGAAATGTCACCTAAGGACAAGGTTAAACAAAGACTCCAAGGTGTTCTGTGCCTCTGTGAAAAACTGCTGTAATTCCTTGGGGTTTGTTTTTCTTTCAAACAGATTATTGCTTGAAAAATGGAACACAAATCGAAAAGACAACTCTGGCTTTCAAAAAAGTGTTCAGGTAAACAGTCACCACATTTACATCATAGTTTATGTATAGTTCATGTATTTCAGTAGAAGGGTACTTTTTTAGTAAATGTATTCATTTATAGAAGTCACTTTTTCCAAACTTGGAAACATTTGTAGTGATTTTAGATCTTAGCTGAGATAGTCCACAGTAAAACCCCATATAACCAAAGAAGAGATTGAAGAGAACTGTTTGGGCTGAAAAGAGCAAGGCAGGTGTGTATTTGCAGTTAGTAATGGTCTAGCAAGCAGTTAAGCATATTAGAGAGTTTTAACCAGATGTAATGGCTGTATAACAATTGTTGCATGGGCTGCATGATTTATCTGTTAAATAAGGCTTACTGACAAAGGACCCCACTAACAGCAAAGACATCCTCAGCAAACATGGGACTGTCCTTACAGAGTGGTGGGAGAGCCAGCTGGGCAGACTGAACCTCTCACAGAGCCAACCTGCTGCTTTAAATTGGCAAAGTAAAAACCACAGGAAAAGAGAAATTGCTGGGTGGAAGTACTTTTTCAGGGTTAAACAAGACAAAAGCATTTGTCACAGAGCTGGTGAGGGAAAACAGACAACTGCAGAGTTGCACTAGAGAAAGTTGGCCTGCCAAGATATTCATCAAGGAATTGGGTAAGGCAGATACAGAGCTAGACTGGGTTTTTTAAAAATCTTGTTTCTATAGCTGTAGTTTGTCTTCTGGTTCAAAAACATTGCCCAGTAATTCAAATAGGAATAAAAAAATCCAGTCTCACCTGCTGGTTAAGAATGTCTGTTTCATGGAGAGTGAAATCTGGAGCCTGGTGTGCAAGAGTGTGTGTGAGTGTGTCAGATTATTTCTGAGTCTGCAGAATTCAGCATTTAAGGGCTGATCACTCACGAGACATGCTTTGAGAGGGAGCAGATATAAAACCACCCTATAGGAGCAAAGAAGTTGTTACAGGCATGCAGAGATAAAGGCTGTGTTCCACAATTATCTCTGTATCTCAGCCTTCCAAAGAAAATTGTATTGCTGCTGAAGTGCACAGGAAGGCATTCCTGTTCAAATTCTCCAGAAAGGGCATAGCACTGTAGCCCCATTAAACATGTGAGGAAGGAAAATTGATTACTTTCAGTTTAAGTTATATTGTTTTTTCTATTACTGTTTTGTCAACAGTGACACTGAGCCCATGCATTTTATATCTTTTGAGTTGTATTTTTAAAAGTATTCGTGTGCTTCACTTGTAGGATTAAATTTTAGAGGAAGAAAAGATGCTGAAGAGGTTTGGAATCATACCATTCACCTGCTTCTTTTCAAAGTGTATTCACACCTTCCAGCTTCAAGCAGAAACAAGATTTTTTTCTTTGTTGTCACAACAGCTGGCAAGACAAGAAGTTGCAGATGTTAAGTGCTGCAGTGACTCCACTTGCAGATTTTGCAAAATTCAAAGTAAATCAAGCCCTGAACCCTACAAAGTTTAAATATAAGTAGAGGATAGTTTTCAATATAGCTAAGAGAAATTTTAACAGTGTATGTATCGTAGTGCAGAATCACAATTTTTGTTTCTCTTTTACTACATTGCATTAATAATTTCTTCAATTAGTTGCTGGTATGTCTGAACTGCCTTTTTTGTCTGTTGGTTTGAGAATTCTTTACTGGTGTTTATTATCCCTAACAGATGGGACATATGGCTGTGATGTTAGGAAGAGAATTCTTTATTCCAGTTTTGCATAGAAAGTCCAAGAAATTGCCTTAATGCAGAAAACAAAGCTTATAATTCATGTTTTTCTCACAGAGAAGTTTTGCTAATAATTATTTCAATTCTTCGCTTTTTGGCAGGAAAGAAAGATTTAGAGCTGATGATTCAGAAATTATTAGACATACAAGAAAGTAATACCCTGTTGCTGATGTAGACTGGTTGTGTTTGTATAACCAGACACTGCCTATCTTCTGAGCAGTTCTGTTCTTACATATTTCCTGTCTATAAAGATTAAAAATATGTTTTCCAGTATCAGTTGATTTGTGAAATATACTTGTTTTTTACTGATTTCTGTAATGACAGCTCACTAGTATTTTGTAGATGTTCACTGCTGTCTTTAGAGGGTTAGAAATTAATCTCATGTGTTTAATATATGTAATATAATAAAAATGGATTCATACTTCAAAATTAAGGTACCTGATCTGCATTTATTTAGGATACATTTGCCCCTCTTGCACGCCACTGGATATGCTGTGATATGGGAGATTGTGTCTTTTCTGTCCCTTTATCTCTTTTGTCTCTATAAAATTACTTCTATCACAAATGTATTTATTTAGTGTTGTATGCTCTGAATTAGGTGACTCCTACCTTCCATGTTACTGCCAGCCTTTACTAGAATGCTGCAGTTAAACTGGTGCTTTGTGCTATGTGTCACTTTCTGTGATTTTATTTGTGGCTGTGTGTAACTGCTGAGATGATTTGATATGAAAATAATTGTCAATTAATAGGATTGGTCATATTTCTGTTTGGGGTATAGATGGATATCACTGTTAAAATGAGGATTTGTACTAACAGAAATGTTAAAACAGTAAATCCAGATAGAAAGAATGAGCTTTCTGTAGTGCCAAAGAGGGTTTCTTATTTGTTTCCTGGATGAGTTAAGAAATGTCATAGTTCTGTAGCATAGATTCTTATATTCCTATAAAAGTGTTTTAAAAGAACTTAAAAGGAAACACACTCATGCAGATGTCTTAAATGGTATCAGAGGCTCTTTGCAAAGTAAGATCATAATGACATGTTGGATTTTGCAAATGTGGATAAGCATCAGAATATTTCAGTCTGTTGTGTTAGACCACAATTGTCAAAGCTCTCATTTAGAGCCTTCCCCCCCAACCCCGCTACAACATTTGGTGTTCAGAGGTTTTACTGTATCCAAAAAGTTGTGTTTACACAGTGTCTCTATTGGCTGATTGTCAGCGGATCTGTAACCCAAATTTGGGGCAGCCTACATTAATACTCATCACTGAGCTGTTTGTTTTGCCTTGGACTGGGTGTTTGTTTCCATGGGCAGAGCACAGCACGTTTCTCTGGTTCTCCTGAGCATGATCTCACACTCCAAGTAGGTGTTGGGAACTCAGGAGCCTTCTCTTTGTTGGTGGTATGAGCTAAGGGCTTCTAAGCCTCCTGTTCAAGAAAATGCAATGCAAAGTAAGGAGCAAATGTTGTTGTTGGAATCTGTGTAAGCAGAGAAGCTGTAAAAGAGCCAGGTATGACAGTACTGTGCCATTACACCCCATGCAGGTTCTCTTCTTTTGTAAGTGTGTTCAGCCTGTGCAGCCAAAGCTTTGTGGTCTCACAGGCTGGCTGCCCCGATGCCTCCTCAGAGCAGCTCCTTAGTTTAGAATACAGATTCCAGATTCCATCTCCTTCCTACCTACCTGGAAACTGCCATCCTGCCTGCTCCCATCAGGCTGAGGGCTGCTCATCCAGGAGGCGTTTTCAGGAGATGCCTCAGTGGGGCTGACCTGTGTAATACTCGGTGACTTCAGTGTGGATCTGTCAGCTCGGTGCCATTTGCTTTCCTGGTTTGTGCTTGCTGGAATGCAACCCACTGTATTCATGACATAATAAAAGAGGAGATTTATAATTGACCAAATGCATATTTTTCAGCCAGCTTGTTTGTAAGGCATGTCATTGCTGTGACTCACTGAATATGCTGATTTGTGAGCAGTGAATTAAAGACAAATGGCTGAACCAGTTGCTACCACCACGTGTGTGTGCCACCCCCTTCAGGAGAGTGCTGCTTTCACGGCAGGAGTTGGGAACTTCTGTGTGGAGCAGCTCATGTGCTGCCATAATTTCCAGTTTCCAGCTGCTGAGCTAGGTTTAACTGGTACAAATGTTCATAACCCTTAGCAAGGACTGGCAGTTCAGGAACTCCCTCGTGCATGGTTCAGCCATAGCTGCTTCAGAGGACAGCTTCCAGGAGAAGGGTGGGACAGCTTGGCATAGTGACAAATTCCTCCATCCAAATATGCCTGAATTGGAGTCACCTCCAGCAGTTCAGCTGCTTCAAAGGAAGGTAATGGCAGTGTGAGTCGTGTCCTTTAGAATCCTGTTCAGTAAGAATTTCTCTGTGCCTTAAGCATGTTGCTACTGTCAGCATGTACCTAGATTTGAAACTATAAACTTCCAAGACTTTAGGCACCCAAATGTGTTAATACCACTAAGTCACAGGAATTTTCCTGGAATCACTTTAATGCATCTAAATCAGATGTATATTTCATTCCATTGAACTTTGGTCCTTTGTGAAACTATCTCAAACAGAAGCTTATGAGATGTTTGCTTGCTGATTAGTTTAAATAAATAAGTAATAGAAAGAGAGAGGAAGAAGGGAAAATGCAATTCCAGAAATTTGTCAGCGTTTTCTTCCCATGTCTCTGTTACAGTAATGATAATTTAGGTTTTAGGTAGTTAATGTGCTGGCAGAAGTAATTTATAAGGAGTCTGATAATTTCTAACTCATGTCACATGAGTGTTCATCAGTTAGAATCTTAAATTCTACCCAGAATTTGATAAGTAACTTAGGCAGACCTTTTAAGAAACAAGTTTATCTCCTTTCAGTGACATGGGCTGCCTCTGCCACCATGGCCACTCCTAATGTGGTACCAAAGCTTTTCTAAATAGAGTAAAAACTAGCAAATAATCTGTTGGAATTGGTGTTATAATTTCTTTCAATCATGCATTTGTTTAGTTTGTTCAACACTTTTGTTGTCTCTGTGATTCCCGTGTGTAGCAAGCCAAGCTGTGATCCCTGCTAACTGTATAGAAACGTGCCTTTATTCAGTACAATGTAACACAGTATTTTTATTTATGATGCATTTGTATTCCTTCCATTCAAATATTGCATAAACTGTCCTCTTCTTTAACAAGACCCAAGGGCTGATACAGGGATGTTCCTTAGTGCTGTGAGATGTTGCTTTGTTTCTTCCTGTAATTCCATCCTGACTTGGCAATGCAGGCTCAGAGTTATCATTTCATTTGACCTGTAAATCAATCTGTGTAACATGCAAAGTAACCACGAATGCAAAGGAAATGAGAACAAAGTCATTTGAAAAGCATTTTATGGGACACATTCCAAGGCTGTATTTATGTGTGCTTTATTCCTTCCATGAGGAAGCAGTGAAATATGCAGAACTGTAACACAAATACACAAAGAAACAGGAAAAAGGACAGAGTGCGAATATTTATGTATGTTAATGAAGAATGGAGGGATTTAAGAAGAACCTGATCTCTTAGCTTTGCAGCAAGGAATAAAGATCTGCATCTTCCTTTCCCTTCTGGCCTGGACTTGGAGCATGACATGGGTAAGTTGCTTTGCCTCTGTGTCTTACTCTTCTAACTTAGCAAGGAATGTGAAGAATGTTGTGTTATCATAACAGTTTGGGTCTTACATTGCATTTGTTGTTGTTGTATCAATATTATGTTGGTAAACTTTTTAAAGGATTATTCATGCCTTAGAAATGTTTAATATGTACCAATATTTAGCATTTGGTTATATGAAAAATATTCAGAAGATCCCAAATTCAGATCCTATGATTAATCTTTTTGACTAAAAATTCTAAGCACAGCTAGACATAATTAGAGGAGAGCTCTACTCTTTTTCTCTTCCATTAACATTGCAAGACCTGATTTTGATGCTTTTTACCATTTTCTGTCCTCTCTCACATAAAGGGTGAATATCTTACTGTTGTCATTTCCCTTCTCTCAGCTCTCTGCTGTTTTAGACATCCTTGTTATGGGGGTGGTTGTTTTTGTAGTCACAAAGAGATAAGTTCTCTTAGTCAAAAGTATTTACACCCTGCAACAGCTCTGCCCAGACTTCTCTGGGGCTGCAGAGGGAATCAGCACTCTGTGCCCTGTCCAAGCGAGTGTCACCACTCTGAGTTCACAGACTGTGTCAGTACCCCTGATGGGGCATCTGCATCTGAACAGCTGCACGAGTAGGTGCTCAAACACACAGCAAGCTTGGACAACTCTACTAATTTAAGGCTTAGATGCAGAAATTTTTAATAAGTCAACTGAAGAGAGGGTATCTTTTGTATGGCAGGTATTTCAGCAAAACCCTGTCCTTGAGTAGTTTTAAGAGAGAGCTTAGTCTTTTCTGATTTTCTGCTATTCTTCTGCCCTTGGGCACTCCAGAACATCCCATCCTGCCCGTGACTCACACCAAATATCCAGCTGTCATCTTAACTCACACCTCTCCTGAGCTCTTCACGCTCTGGTTATTCTGTTAAAGGCTCCTTTCTGCATAAGATCTTCCACACTTGAAAACCATTCTTCAGGTTACCCCAGAGCTGGAGCACAGCTCCTGTTCGGTGACCTGGGAGTGCAGAGCTGTGAAGTTCACAGGACCAGCTAGTGACCAGGACATAGACCTGGTCTCACACTTCTGCCTTCTGGGCCATGGCTTGAAACCCCTCTGGGGTCCAGTCCCCAGCAGTGTTCAGAACCAGCACAGGGACCAGGCTTTGTGTGCTGGGGACAGAGATTGTCTTGTCTGTCTTATGCCAGATCCTCCTTACTCAATTCAGGCTTGGCTCCAGCAGCATGTGATTTGAAATGAACTTGTGTAAGCCTACTGGGTTCCTCTATGAAACAGGGCAATTACATTTCAACATTGCTTTACAGTCTGGATATGAGTAACATTTTGATAAGCCAAACATTTCAGAAATGTGGACCTCCTCCATGTAAATAAATGGACAAACTCATTGACACCTTCCTGTTGTATTTTACAGTCATCTGCTATAAGTACTAGATGTACTGGATGTTTTGTTTTTTTTTTTTTCTATGTGCCTACATGAACTATGAATGGTCATAGGAGAAAAAGTAGAAAAAGGAAGTATAGAGTTGTGACCAAAAGCAAGCTCCAATCTTAATGCAGCAGCTTTTCTCCTTGTAACTTTAGCTTCTGTTTCTTTCAGAAATACTTGGCAGGATGCATTGAATAAAATACTACCATCCTTCTTTACTAAAGGTAAGAAAATAAGCATAACAGGAGAGGTACAAAATACCAGTTCTGAAAATTCCTCTGAGGTATCCCCTTCTTGCCAAGGTGGAAACCAAAGCCAAGTTAAAATGTTCTTTGTTAAATTTCACTGAAGAGTGAGGGATTGATATCCTTCGAAGAAGCTGACAAGCTGTTTTCACTTGTGAAGGAGTTCTGGAATAGTTCAGGGATAGAATGGACACTTTATTTATTGGAATAAATGGTAAAAGCTGTCAAGGCTGTGGACAGCTTAAAACACAGTTTGGTGTTCTTGGGGATTTTCCTGTGAGCTGAGCTTGTCACTCACTCAGCAATCCAAGCAATCCAAGAAGTGCAGATTAATTTGACAGGTTCAATATTCTGGTTCTAAATTCTGGTCCCCGATACATGTTATGTGAAAATACATTTGCCTAGGTCTCAGTCTGAGTTCTTGTCAGCAAATGAACATTAAATTACATTTAAATTGTGATTGGTTACCTATGGACTTGAGCTATTTCTAACATGCAAACATTGAAAATTGTAGTAATTTATATTTAGATGTGGGAGTGTTTCTTTAGCATCTTAACTACTGTTTTGAGACTTAATTTTAGACACACCCATTTAAAAATGCTGGCTTTGATTTCTCATTGTTTAACTCGCAAAAGCATTTATGTTTTAAAACTACTTCAAAATCTGAGGACACAGCACATATAATTATTAATAAATTTATTAATTCATCATTCATTTAAATGCATTATTTAACAGTACATCACCTTTTCCTGTTCTGTTATGTCCAAGGTAGTTTATTACCTTCATATTCCTCTTGGAAGCTGGAGAACAACACATGTGCCTACAATTAAGCCTCTCTGCACATACAAAATTTTGGGGATGGAGATACAAAAGTCAGAATGAAAGTGCTGAGTAGCACTGCCAAACAGGATTTTTGTTCCTTCTCTCGTAGTTTATCTACAGAATGATGGCACCAACAGTATATTTGTGTTGTGCAGTGTCTTAATACTTTTACCAGACAAGTGAGAGCTACCATCCTGTTAAGAATGGTCTGATGTGGAGAATTTTTAATTTCTTTTCCTGAAAAGGAACGTAAATTAGGTACAAATTAAGCCCTGCCCTTTTTTGGGTCCCAGCCAACCACCAGCTACACAGGAGCAGGAGCAGCAAAAGGCCTGAGCACACGTGAACTTCTCTGCCTGCCTGGGAGCACCTGATGCCCTTGAGTCACGAATTGTCCAGCACAGAGACCTCACCCTCCCACCTGGACAGGAAGGCCTGGGAGAGCGCTGACAGCAGGATTCTACCAAGGGTACTTACTAGTTCTTTAGCTATTTCTAAAAACCTGATGTGGTTGACTTTAACTTCTTATGGGAAGTAATTTGAACATTTCTGATATTTGAAATGACAGTAGGGGAGCTAAAAGCAACTCGCACTACATGTGCTGCACGGGATGTGACTAGCTCATCATGCAGAATGCATTAATAAATAAGAATAGCTCCTACAAATTCAGAGAAAAAAAAGTTACTGATTCCGAAAAGATGGATTTTCAAAAAGAAAACTGCTTATGTTCAACATTTGAAAACAATTTTCTAAGTCCATGAAGCAGAATAATGTACTAATGCTATTTATGCTTTTTAAGAAAGAGATTTCTAGAAAACTTAAACTTTTTTACGCAATCTCCAGCTTACTAAAACTTTAAGGAGATATTAATGACAAATATTCAAATATATACCATTTCTCCAATGTCTTTTTATAATATGTGATAAGCTTGACTTTACTTCTCCTTACAGTGTATAAAAAGATGCTTGTTCTCAGAAGAGAAGGCAAAACAATTTTATGTGGCTTAAGATTCCTGCATGGCATACTCTAGAGATACAAATTTATGTTTTCTTGCTTGAACAGGACAGCATATTTGTTTTAGTTGTATTATATTAGTTGTAATTTAAATTTTGTTTGGAAACATGGATTATTTTTAATTTTTGAAATGTCAGGATGTTTTTCAACATAAGGAGCTTGTGTTTTACACTCTGATTCAGTTTACTGAATTGAGTGAGCTGACATTGGTGTTAAATACATGTAAGAGCATGGAGAATTTGGTCCTTTCCCATGTCTGAAATCTGAAACCCAACATATAAAATAAGAAGAATATCACAAACAAAATTATAAAACACTAAGTAAGCAATGGCTAAAGTACTCCGTAATTTTATGTGCTGTGGGTGCATTTTGTGTTACTTTTCTAGAATTTTTTTGTCACCTGGAAGTGACAGAGCTGCCAGCTCCTGGCTCTGCCCCATTTCTGCCTGAGCTCTGCTGAAGCTTGATGTAAATGGCAGAGAGCAAACTGTACTTATCTGTGAGGCTCCTCTCACATGAAGAGCTCTCCAACTATGAGAAAACCAAAATAATCTGCAGAGACTGGGTCCATATTCCTGTACTAGGCTGCAGGCACCCAGTTGGGCTCCCACTTTATGGTGACATGAATGATTGCAGATTCCTTCTGGATTTTTGTTTGGGGTATAAGAGCCTAGATCCCAATGTGCAAAGGCCAAGCAGGGGCTCTTTGTGTGGGAAAATTAAATTTGGTGGACAAGTGATTAATGTTGAATAAACTAATTTGCAATACAGAATGAGGTGTACAGATGGGTAACTCCTGTGGAGTTGTTATCCTAGATTATTCTAATCAGTTTTCCCAACTAGATGAACTCACAGGGCAGATGGCTTATCTCTTCTGCCCCTTGTTGGTTTAGCTGTCTATGAATGCCCTACTGAGAACAATATGGCCAAAAGCTAGTGAGAACTGGACAGAAAACTAAATATATTTAATATATAACCAGAAAAACTTAGAATGGCAACAAACTTTCATCATTGCTAAAGACCCAAATGTGAAATAAAGTTGATTTTAAAACTAGAATGTATCCTTTCTTATACTGCTTATCTAATGTCTTGGTTTATTTTCCTGACTAGTAGGATAACATCAATTTGACATTAATATCTCAGAAGTTAATGAGTTTTCAAGGATAAAATGTTTGATGAAACCAAGTATTTAAAAATGACATCATAGCTGTTACAGTTAGGTAATTATAATGGCTCTAAAATAGTGTAATTTCACTTCATTTTTATATTGCATGAAATTTAGGGATATGAGGAAACGACTAAATCTTGGAATATAAAAGTATTCAGACTCATTAAACATTATACATAGAAAACCTATCACCAAAATTATGAATTTATAAATTTTAAACATACTAAGATAATAAAACTAGTATGGGAGCATTGTAATGTAAAAGTAATTGAAATAACCGAGACCTCAAAGCATTATGCAGGAATTTTCAAGAGGTTTTCTCTATTGCAGTCGTGATGCCAGAGGGATCCACGGAAGAGCTCCACAGCAGCCCACCCTGCGAGAGCCAAGTGACAGAGCCTGCTGGGCTGCTGGCTCCCAGCAGCAGCAGGACAATGGTGACAGGAGGTGGAGGCTACCTGGGATACAATCTGGGATGTGCCCTTGTTAGCTCAGGAATTGCTGTTGTGCTCTTTGACGTTCGGAAACCTAAATGGGAAATTCCAAGCGGAGCGGATTTTTTCAAGGTAGGTTGGAGTTAATGTCCAATGCTCATTATCAAGGCGTCCTCTTAAGGACCTTTGATTAAAACATTTATGGAAAAGCCTTTCAGGACAAGAAGAAGCCATGGTAAAAGGTCCTTGCATGCATAAATACCTGATTAAGGGATGGCAAACAGGGTCCCAGTGTCTCCAGTGTCACCTGTGATGCTCTGCTGGGAGGTGCCATTCAGCGCCCCAGGGAAACAGTGACCAGAGAAGGGACAAAGTTCCTGCTCAGGGGAATTATTTCAAGTAAAAAGCTGAGAGCCAAGACAGGGCAGTAACAGGGATCACAAATGCCAAATGACTGCCATGCAGGGAATGATTGAGAAAACTGGGATTTCTGGGATTTCCAGGCTGGGAAAGAGGTGACTCAGGAGCAGGAGAGCTCTACAGGCTGTGAGTGGCACTGTTCACTGTCCTTCCAGTACAAGCAGGAAAGGCCATCAAGAATGAGGAGTCAGTTCAGTACAAACAAAATTATGTGGCTTTTCTTGCAGTGGGTACAAGGCATGTACAAAGCCTCAAGAAAAATTTACCTCTGTTGGAAACTGCTGAATAGATAAATTAAATTAGGCTCAAGAAATCTTGTGAATGAAAATGCTTCAGGACTAGAAGAGCATTCTGGGGGAAGCACCACATTTGCTTGCCCCGTTCATGCTCTTCCTGCAGAACCCTTTTATGAGCACTGATTCTTTTTGATTTTGAACAATTCAAGGAATGACTGTGTCTGAGAAAAAGGGGAACACAAGAGCTCTCCAGTATCTGACAGCTCACTGCCATGTGTGGAGAACACATTCCCCAGTACCTCTCACAGCTGCTCCAGGTTTGGGCTCTGGGGCACTTTCTGGGTGCTCCTGTCGTGTCACACAAATTCTGGCTAAACCCAGGGTATTGCTCAGCTGATCTTTTCTGAGCATTTACTATAAGAGAGTTTGCCACTCCCCCTAGAACTGGGAAGTTGATGGCAGAGCTGGAAGGGAGGACAGGACCTTGATCCTGCGGGCTGTCGTTGTGATGCCAGGTTTTCTCCTTTGGGCTAAATCACCCTCTGGGGCAGGTGGAAGGGAGGCAGAGGGGGATGGAGGATTCTGGAGAGAGCAGAATACCAAGCCAAGCAGATCTTGTCTGACCCAGGATGTTTTTAAGTTCCATTTCATAAACAATTTTTACAGAATATAAAAGAGGGATAAATTATTATTGAAGAACCATTCAAACACCATAAGCTTGATTTGTTGATGCTATAAGTCTACATAATTTGATTTAAGTTTGTTGACTGGTGGAAATTTACATCTTCTAAAGGGGACTCGAGATCTCACAAATGATCTATAAATCAATTTAGAAAGAATAAATATTACAAAGTGTAGGAGAGTCACCTGGAAAATTGAAGTATGGAGTCCTAGTAAATGAATTAATAAGTAACTTCAGAGGTTTGAGCAGTAGTTTGGAGATGGCTAATATTGTTTATACTGGTTAGCTTCTGTAGCATTGCATTGAGGGTGGGAGGTGTAAGTCAGCTGTATTTGTGAAATACTTTGGCAACCTTGGAGAAAAAAGTTGAGAGTTAAAGACTGGTTAGATTAGCTCTTAATAGCATTCTGTCAATTATTCTATGTTATTCTATCAATTTCATTGCAGGAAATAATATAAGACCTAATATTCTGAAAAGTTTGGTGATTCCAAGGCAGACAGCTGAACCCCTCCTGCTATGATTTATTGTCCCTGGGGCTGGATTCTCCAGCTCTTGAGCACTTGCTGCTCCCATTCAAGTCAAACAAGTTTTGCCAGCCTGGAGGCTGCAGGACTAAGTGTGAAAATACGCATTATAATTGAAGCCAACAAGAGTCATCTTTGTTTTGCAACAAAATAATGGCAAAATTCTTAGTCACTGCTTTTTCTACCTGCTCATAATGTTTTGTTTAATTGTTGTTAAATACTGTGAAAAACAGACTAGAGTACCTTTAGATTTTCCTTGCTAGCCATAGTTAATACAGTTCTCTAGAGAATGTAATGAGCTCTACCTGTCAAAAATCCATTCTTCTCTCGTGTTACAGGGTGATGTGAGGGATTATGAAGCAGTGTTCAAAGCATGTGAAGGGGTTGACTGTGTTTTCCATGTAGCTGCATGTGGAATGTCGGGATTGGAACAAGCAAGTACCATTTTCCTAAAGTGTTCTTTGGTTACTTTTGAGAAAGAAAAAAACTGTCTGCATGTGACAAAGAACATAATTTTACAGTATTTATGTCAGAAGTTGTTATAAAGGCCAAGTCATCCATACAGGAAATAGGGGAGGTATTCCTTAAATAATAAAGTCAAAGTGTGAAAGTAATGTACTACAAAATATTCTAGAAAAATGAGATCATAATTTTAGAATCTTGGATAAGAAGGTGTAGCTTTTTTCTCTGATCTGAAGAAGAGTGACAGCATCGCTCTAAAACTAATATGGATGCATTTTCTTCTTGTGAACTCAGTCATGAGGAAACAGACCACAATCTATGTGTTATGCTGAATTACATTGATAGTCACAGAAGGTGACTATCAAAAAAACCACGAACCTACTAATTTATTTCTAGGAACAGGACAGATTGCCACTAGAACAAGAATTTGTGGAAGCTTTCAGGGAGCATAACCCCTGCCCATAATTCTTGTTTCTATATCATGGATTATCTGGGGTGTGACAAAATATTGAAGTATTATTATTTCCTTTTAGAAGTATTTATCTTTCATTTTTCAACTTTCTTTGCTCATACACCAAACAAGACAATAAAAATGAGAACTGTCAGGAGTCACTGTATGTCAGACATAACTGTAACATGCATCACAAAAAGACCACAGCTATTGTAGATCTGGCAATTGGAACATCATATTGTAAATGTGACTTGTTTGATTAATTAAATCTTGTGCAAATTCTATTTCTAGCTTCAAAAGAAAGATCAGATTGAATCCATAAATGTTGGAGGCACAAAAATAATAATTGATGGTAGGTACCTAGATTTTCTTTCTCTGCATCTGATCCAAATAATGAATTGAAAAACTTTCTAACTGGATGTTTCCTGTGGAGATGAGGCAGTAAAATGAGGCTTTTCTCTCCCCCCTGTCAAAATATGCAGGTCCCATTACAGCTGGTAGATTTGCCACTAGTTTGAACTGGGGTTTTCAACCTGGACTTCATTCCTTGGCAGTCCAACTAAAGCTCTCCTCCATGGTTATTTTTTGCCTTTATGTAATGGAGAAGTGTTATCCTCCTTCCTCACAGAAATAACATGAGAGCTGTTGTACTGTTTGTTATGTCATAAACATTTGGTACAGGCATCACAGATGTATATTTAGCTATTATTTTATCACATTGATACAGAAAACCTTCTATCCTTTCTGCTTACTGTGACCCCTTTTTATTATACACAGATTCTTAACTACTGTCTCTGGAAGATTCCAGTACATCTCTTTCAGTATATTCAGTTCCAGAAAGAAAGTTTTCCCAGTGTACTGTAAATACCAGAGCTACCTTCTCTTTGTTTTTCCTTCAAAAATCAGGTGGGGGGGGGGGAGGCAGCAAAATAGCAAAATCAGTTTTTATTTAGATTAATTTTCATGCTGACTGTGTGTTATTACTGAAAAAAATGCAGAAATGGAATAGTAGGCAAGTAAAACTCTAAATGAGTTAGAAGGAAGAGTTGCCACATCTTGCCTTCTTCCCTCCCCAACCTCCAAGCCCACAGAAACATGTCATGTCAAATTCCCATAGGCTCCCAGAAAACCAAGATACTGGGAGGAGCATGAACTTGCTCATCTACATTTTAATAATACACCTTATTATTGTATTTTTTCCCAAATATTTACAATAATTAACATTTATTATTTTCAAAATGAGCCAACGAACCAGCAGGACAGACTGTTCTGCAAATTCTAAAAATTCCTGAGTTTGCATTTTAATTCTCTTCAACTTTAGAAATATTGTTAAATGAAAAGGAAATTTACATTATTCAAGTTTGCAATGACAGATATGCAGCAGAATGCTGCAATGTCTTGGCTACACAGGACTGGAATCCATAATTAGGTCTTTGTTTTGCAAATAACATTAATTTCCTTTGTACTTAAAGCATGACTGATTATACACTAGCAGAGTATGTTTTCCTGTTAACACATCATTTGTCACTGATGAGCAGACTGAGACCAAGGCAGTTTGGTGGCATGTGGGCACAGCTGGCCCGTGCTCCTGTGTCACTTCATGTCCCACCCAGGTGGGGTGCAGGAGGCAGCTCCTGGAACCAAGGGGAACCCAGTGGCCTTGGAGTGGCTGCTCCCCACAGCACTGCCCCCAGGGCTGTACCACAACAAATGTTCTTACTCATCCCCTTTGTATTCAACTTGTAAAATGAACATATTTTAAGAAAAGTTTCTCAAGGAGGAGTTTTCCCTCCACCAAGATAATTCCTCTCCCTAGTAACTGCAATCCATGATATGATAGTTACAGGTACCTCATCATGAAACATTTGGTGACCACAATGTGTAAGATTTGCATAGTCAATGAAAAATTCCAGGTGAATGGAAGATAATATTATATTAAATTATAAGGTAACATCAAAGTATTACCTTTTTTCTATAATTGTAATGTTTGTTTTCAAAAATGAAATCTGCCAATGCAGTTATTTCTCCCTCTTTATTTTTGTTTTAAAATAATTTATTTTGTGTATCACTGTAGTCTGCAAACAAAGAAATATCCCTAGACTGATATATACCAGTACAGTGAATGTGGTGTTTGGAGGGAATCCTATTGAAGAAGGAGATGAAGAAACTGTACCATATTTTCCACTGGAAAAGGTACTTTGTCCATGGGATGGTGTGGCATTTACTGTGCTCCAAAGGGTAGATTGTGTGAAGGCTGTTCTGGGGGCAGAAACTGTTTTACTGTAAATGTTCTCAGTACATTCAGCACCAAAAGTGAGTTAAGTAAATACAAATGGACTCAAATTTGCTCTGAAGCTAAAGTTGTGCCACTAAAGTGTAAATCTGTTTTTTGTCATAAACAAACTACATATTGACTAAATCTTACTATTTCTAGTTTTGTTTTGCTCAGCTGATATCTGTGAGCTGGTTAGATTGAAAAGTTGTCAGTCATAAACAATAAGTTTGCCTTTACAGATTCAATAATTATCTTATTCTGCTTCCTTATAGCAATTTAATCATTATTCCAGAACCAAGGCAATTGCAGACCAAATGGTTCTTGCTGCTAATGGAACTTTACTCAAAGGTACATATAAAGCATTTGGGGCTTTTCTATCATTGGGAGTGCTAATGGGCATTCCTTTCTTTGGTTGCTCATTCATCAGTAGTATACTTTAACTGAAATAAGGATTTCTTTGTTTCTATTCCTTTCTTCAGTGGATAATTAGCTGTTCTGATAATACCAATTTGTAAGCACAGTCCAATGGGCTCTTCTTGTAACCCCAAGAAGGTTTTTCAGGCTGTTAAGCTCAGGTCTGTCACAGCTATTGAATTCAATTTCACACAGAAAGAAAATCAAGTTCCCAGGAAGCTGAACCCCTCAGAATAGTCAAAATGAGCCCTAATTTTGACAGTGTAAAATTCAGACAATATGTGTCAGCCCTTTGCTGCTGTCCCAGCTGTCTGACAGTCACCTTTGCTCTCTCTCCAAGGAGGGGACAAGCTCCACACGTGTGTGCTTCGCCCGCCGGGCATCTACGGACCAGAAGAGCAGCGGCACCTGCCTCGAGTAGCCGTATGTGTTTTGTAGTCAGCTCTGGAGGACACCACAAGTAGTTGTAAGGGCATAACACAAGTGGTAGTACCTTGATTGCAGTTCTTAACCATTCCTGCAGGAATGTGGTGAAAGCTTGGGGACAGGTGATGGGGTGCAGGGTAACAAACAGCAGGAAACCAGCACTGTGGGCCAGGGCCAAGCTGGGCTTCTCAGTGAAAAGGAAAAGTGGAAGGCCGAAATGCTGGGGTAAAGGAACTAGGCTTGCATCCCTACATTGAATGGAAATTGTCTTTTAAATATGCACTTTAATTTCTGCCAAAAAATATAATGTTGCAATACTATATAAATAAATGTAAATAATACTATATTTTGCCACTGCCTATCACTGCAACCGTCTTTGATTTCTAAAACCACCCACTAGTTGGATTTTTCTTTGTGGCAGGTTTCTTGTGCTGTAATTGTACACAAATATAGCAAATCCCAAGTAACTGGGTTGAGACAAGATCATATTATAGTGCATAATAAAGGAATAATGAAGTTATCTTGTGTTTTCTGTTTCTACAGATAAATATCCAGCGCAGACTTTTTAACTTCAAGTTTGGGAATCACAAAGTTCAGATGAACTGGGTTCACATAGGAAATCTAGTGCAAGCTCATTTACTGGCTGCTGAGGCGCTCACCTCTGAGAAGGACTACGTAGCTGTAAGTAAACAATTTAATCACCAGTAGCTTGAGTTTTCAAACAGGTTTAATTTTTGATGTTTTGAGATCAAAGTGTGTCCAAAAAGTCATATGCTAAATTCTCTAAAACAGTGTGTAGCTCCACAAGCACACAGACAGTGCAAATGCAAATACATTTCACTCATAATTTGATGGTGTTTTTGTTTGAGTTGAAAATATATAATTTCTTGGGTTATTGGAGGAAACTGTATTTTTAACTAGCTTAATATAGCTACCATTACACAAATCTATATATCCTGTTATTCTCTTCAAAATAGCTTCTGACCTAAATGCATAAAATTTAGAGCAACCATTCTGAGGCATTCCAGTTGAATTTTCAGGGCTGAAAATTCCAGAAATTGTCCATTGGACAATTTTTAATGGGCAATTTTTAAAGGTTTTTCTTTTTGTTCTACTGGTCACAGTTGCAACACCAATCTGAGGACTGTGAAGCATTACAGAACTGACAGTGCTGCAGCAGCTGCTTCATTCACAGTTATTGAAGGTCCCAGATTCATTTAGACTGGTAGGAGCACACAGAACACAGGGACTGACACAGGTGAACACCTCTCCATGTGTTCTCAATTAGTTCAGCCCGTGGAAGCCACCCAGCTGTTTTAGATTGATGCCATTCCCAGAGTCCCAGGTTTGTTGGGTGCTCAGGTGTTCCTGGTACTCAGAGCTGGGCAGACTCCTCATCCAGAGCACAGCTGGAACTCGACCTCAGAGCTGTGTTTGTTAAATGCCATCAGTGCTGCCCCTTCTGTTGGACTCACAAAGCTCATTCTGTGCCATTGTGAAGAACATAATGCTCCAACAGCTGCTACCCCATGGGGAAACTGAGCTCTGATCTACACTACACCATGGTTAATCACCATGAGCCCTGCCAGCAGTGTGGGGTTACCACAGTGGAGCCCAGTGAAGGCAGTTTCCTCTGTGTACATTCACCTTGTGCATGCTGCTGTGTTACTCACAAAATCATGACAGGTAGGTAGGTATGACAGAGACAGAAAATGCCATCCTGGGCACAGTTTTGTCACTGTTTTTCTCTGCTTCTTTACCAGAGTGGCCAGGCTTACTACATCCACGATGGTGAAAATGTCATCTTCTCTGAGTGGATTGTGCCTTTGGTAGGTACTGCAGAGCCCTGCAGCCCCCAGCACTGCATGGGCACGAGCCCTGTCACTGGCTGCCACACCAGACCAACTAAATGAAGTTCAGTGCACAGAAATTACTGAATTACTTAACATTAAACTCAATCCTGTTTTACCTGCATGTCCCAAAGTTCCACTGGTGTTAAGGGAAGTTTTGGATACGTGTAACTGTGGAGTTTGGCCTTACTGCTTGGAGAGGATTTAGCTGGGAGGTCCAGCACCTGCTGCAGGACAGAGCATTTCATGGAGCAAACCCACAGTGCATGGCAAGCTCTGCCACTGGCATCTGGCAGGACTCTTACAGTCATTGCTTATCCCTTTGTCCTGGCATCAGCTGCAGCACAGAGGGGAAGCCCGTTCAGAATCTTAGAAGCTAAAAAGAGACAACATTTCTGTATTTTCAGAAGTATCAGGCTGGGATTCTAGGAGCATGCCAAAGTTTTGATCCTGCAATGCCATCACAGAAAATGACTGCAGCAGAAAATTGGGCCTGTATTTGACTGTAGTTCAATGTTCCAGTCTGGGTCACTTCCCCCTTGGAAATGGCCTTTTACTCCCTTTTACTGTCCAATTGCAGATGAAGGGTGGGAGCTGGGCACCAAAGAATGAGTTGTGGGTTTCAATTAAATTTCTTACTACCTGTATTGACAGAAGGACTAGCTGGAAAAAAAAAGTTTAGATAAAAGTTTTATCAATATTCTTTAATTTTTTTTTACATTTTCAAGCCTCATTGACACTTTCAATTTGGTGTAAGTTTTCTGTTATTCTTTCTTTTTATACCCTTTCTAGTTTGAAAAATTAGGCTACAGGAAACCTTGGATACATATTCCTGTTCTCCTGGTTCATATAGCAGGTAAAAAAATAAAATACATTCTTAATTATTGTGGGTTGTTTGATTTTTTTTTTTTTTTTATTATTCCTATTAAGCTACATAGTGGTTTTATAAAATGCAGGGGCACAAATTATTTAAATTAAAATTATTTTAATTGAGAATAATCACTTGTGCCATGTGGTATTAATTATAGTAGATAAAGTTTAAAGGCTATTAATAAACTCATCATGTACTTTATAAATTAAACTGTGCCTTCTACCAATAGGAATTACAGGATGTATAATCTCAGCATTGTCTCAGTTTATTGTTAACCAGATGTCTCATTAAGTAATTTCTGTTTCACAGCCACTGTGATGGAATATCTGCACCTGATACTAAAGCCAGTTTTTAGCTTTACACCTTTCTTGACAAGGAATGAGGTAAATTAATAAAAAAAAGATGTTTATATATTTCTGACTCAAATTCTCATTAAGGACATGATACACACTTTGGATTTTCTGCATTGCAGCTCTGTTTTCTGTTCTGTTTCCATTGTAATATCACTGATATATTTTCATCCAAGTTCTAGAAAACTGGATTTTAAAGTCACTGCCATAACTGTCCTTTTGGCTCCTAGGTGTGGAATGTCACAGTAACTCACACATTCCGAATAGACAAGGCACGAAATCAACTTGGTTACAAACCAAAGAAATTCTCATTTGCTGATTCTGTGGATCATTACCTAAAAACAAGACCTACCTGCCAAGAAGATCACACGTTCTTTAAAATGGTGATTGTTTTTGGCATTTTGTTAAGCTTGATCATTCTTTCTTTCTTCTAAAATCAAATAACCACTCACCTGTTCCAGAAAACTTCATTTTGTTTCTGAGTATTAATTATCTGGTCATAGTACATTCCTCAGCCACTCTGGGCTTTGTTATTCATATTACTATGATGACACCTCTCTGACCTTATTAAGAAAGAAAAAACCCAAACAAAAAACAACTAGAAAAGTGAAAATATAGGATGTATCAGGAAATGTTTCCCAAGGGCAGCACAGTATTACAGCAAAGGAGGTCACCACAAATGTGTGCAGGAATAGTTTTCATGGATCTTCATTAAGTGATGTTTCATGCTGGGAAGCATTTTCTAAAAATGATAATTTGGGAAGGTGAGAAGGTGGAAGAAGAACTGTCACAGGACAACAGTGCTGTAACAAGACCAGTAGCTCCAATGAAGGAAAGGGTGACTAAACAACTCTTCTGATGAAGCCACGGCTACAGCTGCTGTCAGTTAGCCTGAGGAATTACAGAGACCTGGGAAACAGTGGAAAAATATGGAAAGTAAATATTTATAAATAATAGGTGATTATAGGAGTGGAAATCATATTTATGTAAAATAGTTGTATTGTTCTAAAGCTTTGTAAAAATGTAATAAATATCATTATGTGTGTTTGTAAAGTAAATAATATCCTTTCAATGCAATAATAAATAATAACTGAACCAAATAACTGAACTTCTGTTTTTAAGGAGCTGGTGGGAAGGTGGAATTCAGCCAGCTGTTACTGCTCTCTGGAGTCACATCCTCCACAACCCTGTAGCAGTGCTGGCACACACTGTGTGTTCAGGGAATTGCATTTTGGGGTGAGCAACGAAGCCAAGCACCAAGACAGGAGTGAGAATCCAACCTCTCTCTTTTCCCCTTTCTTAAGTCTCACATCAGTTGCTTCTTGGGTGAATTGCACTTTGTGAGCCACCTGTGCTACATGTACACACCAGGTGTAGCCCAGACAAACCAGGGAGCAGCTGCTCCCTCTCTTGCACCCCACATGAATCAGGAGAGCTGGATTTGCCACAGAGGATCATGGAAGACAATGATGGAACAGCTCTGCCATCTGATTACCTCCACTCTGTATTCATTTTGCATTTTCTTAGCATTTTACAGGATTTTTAAGACCAGTATGTTTATAGAGTTTCTCTCATTCTAAATCTATAGGATATGCAGGACAGCCAACAGTAATGCTAGAAGAATAAAGATTACAGGTAAAAGACAGGAAAATGCATGAGCAACTACAATTATCACTGCACCTTGTGTAAGCAAAGATTTGTTTTACTCTATTTTCACTAAACAATAATTTCTGTGTGCAATGAAAGCAGTAGTCTGCTTGATTATGGATTCACATTTGGTGATTGTCCTTGTCCATACAAAGTGAGCTCCCACTGTAGATCTTCATTTAGCAGGGGCACTGCTCAGCCCTGTCTCCTGTTCCTATACAGGAAGCTTAAAGAAGTTCTCATTTAGAGAGATCTTTATCCAGGTTTGATTAAAACCAGTTAAATTCACAATTTATCACTACAGAGCTGCAGCTGAGCCAGCAAGTGCTGCAAGCAGTCAGTACCATGTAAGCCTTTACTCCCTAGAAATGCAGAATAGAAAACCACAAGTGTAAAGTTACTTCCTAGTGAGAGCATTTTAGTTGCATGCAAGCATTCAATTTGGTTCTAAATTAGTTAATTTATAAATCTTTCATATCACTTTTATTGAACTAATAGCTCAGGATGCATCCTGGATTACACCACCACTTTTCACAGGAGTGGAGGCTCTGGCCTTGCATGCTCTTCAGTAAGGACTAACCAAGGAATTCACTGGCTTTGTGCTTGTAAGTCCCCATGGAGTACCATCATTTCATATAACACCAAACCTGTGGTTTGTTATTTTGGGTAGGATGCTTTTTACATCACTGTTATAACAGTGATTAACAATAATTGGCTTCAGTACATTTGTTGATATTTCTTACAAATGCAATATTTGAGATTTTAGAACAATCCTCAGTACCAGCTGGGAATAGCCAGCTCTCTTATTTCTGCAGGTCCTTACTGAGTCTCAGTTTAAGCTGACTCTTGTTTAAGTTACTCCTACTCTAACATAACTACAATGTGTCTTTAAGTGATTAAAATTTAATATGAACGTTCAGACATAGCACAGCTGTAACAAAAGAGGTAAACATGTTCAAAGCTTAACTTTTGCCTGGAATGGGTAACTGAAATTCTGCAGCTCCTGACCCTTTTCACACCCTCCCAGGCTCAAATGACCACAAGGAGGCTCAGGTGGAAAGGGACCTTAGTGCCTATTTGTTTATTTGTGCCTCTTTGGGAACTCCTGCTGTTTTGCAGATGTCTCAGAAGTTCTGCATCTCTATGAGCCATGTCCTGCCCCTGACTGTCCAACCGGTAGGCAGGAGGTGGTTTTTTTTCCTGAACAACCTGTTCAACAGGTACCTCAGTGTGACCGGAGCCCTTACAACTGACAGGATGCTATTGTGCAGCAGTCACAGCTGTGTGAAGACACTTGGAGGTAAGAACCACCGCAGGATGCTCTGGGATCCCAGGGATGCTCTGGCAACGCAGGAATAGCGTGACACGCTGTAGGATCCCCGGGATGCTGTGCGATGAGCAGCATCCCAGGAAAGCCGTGCAATCCCAAAGCTCCTGCCAGCTGATTGGGACGCAGGGGCTCTGTGGGAGCCTGGGGATGCGGTGGGATGTCGGAGATGCTGCGGGGGCCCGCGGGGAGCCGGCGGGGCCGGGCCGGACGCTGTGCCCGGAGCCGCTCCCGCGGCCGCCGCCCGCGCCCGGCCCCAACGGCCCCAACGGCGCCGCCCGCGGAGCGGCCGGGCCGGGGGCGGGCGGGGGCCGGCCCGAGCACGAGTCTGCGCCGGGCCGGCTTGCAAGTGAGATGCGGAGAGCCCCGGCGGAGCTCGGGTGGCTTTCAATGTTTAATTGAGGCCAGGGCAGGGACTGGGAGTCGGAGGGAGCGGGTAGCCACAGCCTCTGAAATATCCTGACTGCCGGTGAGGAACCCCTAGAAGGGCAAGAACCCCCACGTTCAGAAAAGAAGGGATTCGCTATTACTTTTTTCTTAATGCAGTTATTAAGCCTTTCTGTAGTATAGCAGCTGTTTTATTCGAGTTCCCCTCGAAAGCAAGGGATTTGATAGCCTTGTTCTCTGATACACCTTCTAAAGTTATAACGTAAGGATCAGGCATCCCTCTTCCCTCCTGAAATCCTCATCTATCTAAACTCCAGCACTGCCAATGATAACAACTCAGTGTATTCTTAATTTATGTTTAGCTGCTCGTACTTAAAAGATGGAAATACCACTTCTCTCAGATGTCTGTCTTGGCAGTAAACTGGAGACTGTAAATTTTGGTTTGCTTTTGTCTTTATCTCTCTTAGGCAGGCTGCATTAAAGCCAGATTTTGCTGTTGTGACTAGATCTTGTCAACATGAATCTCCCTGAAATTGTCTGCATCCAGGAGTGCTATAGAGCAATTTTTACCATGTAGAAGGAATTTTTACTTCTATCTGGTAGTGCTGGGCAGTACTTCATTGACACAAAACCAAAAATGAATGCAGTAGCAACATCCTATCGCCGAATCTCTGACGGCAGACAGAGCAAATATGCTGGAACACTCCGTAAAACCAGTATGAGAGCCGTGGTGACAGGAGGAGGTGGCTATTGTGGATACAAGCTGGGATGTGCTCTTGCCAACACAGGAGCTTCTGTTGTTCTGTGTGACATACACAAGCCTTTGTGGGCAATTCCCAGTGGAGTGGTGTGGATCCAGGTATGATAAGTAATATCTTCCCAATAGTCGAAGTACTTCATTTGCCTTTTCCATAACGTCTTTCCATAATGTCTTCCTAATTTTCATGGAATCCAAATACCTAATTGCTGATTATTTCAAATTTCAGTAACCTTTTTAACTGTGTGAACATCCCATATCAGTTTTGGTGAATGCATTTTAGTATATCTGAAATAAGGAAACCAGCAAAACCTGTAATGCATGGAACAGTTTCACCGCTGACTCCTCAGGATCCTGCCTTCATCTAGGCCTAGACCTGTAGAATAAACACAGGACTATTGTGAACCTTAATGAATGTCTTTAAAGTTCTTTGGGTTCTATAGAAGAAAAGTATAATTATCAGCAAGTAGGGAGGTGTACCCAGTTTTGAGTCCCAAGAGATGTGTACAGCAAGTACAGTTCTATATATGCGTTCTGTAAATGGATTCCCTCTGTGCTAACTCACTGTATGACAAATACTTAGCTTTGCTCTCTTGTCCAAATATTTTTTCTTATGTATTACAGACAGATATCAGGGATTACAGTGCCATATTGGCAGTCTGTGAAGGGGCTGACTGTGTGTTTCACGTAGCTTCATATGGAATGTCAGGAACAGAGCAGGTGAGTCCACATAGTTTTGGGTTTTTTTCTGTGTGACTGCCCGCACGGAGGGTGAGAGATTTCAATGCTGTAACACTGCATGACAGATTTCATCTCTTCATATTGCCCTGGTCTTTTGATAAATTACTCTGTGCAAACTGGAGTGCCACCTGCAAACAGGCTGCTTGCAGTGATTTCCTCTCCATTAGAGGTTCCACCACCACCCTGGAAAGGTGTTTGAGATAGAAATGGCATTGAAAAGTTCTGAAATACTGTGAAGACAAAATGAAGGACAAGGGAGGCTGGTTCCCTCCAAAGCCCTGATTCTTCCCTAAACCTTCACATGGATCTCCTAGGTGTAAAGTCATTAGGAGGACTAAAACCTTAACTGAATTATAAATTATTTCATATATCTGAATTATAACAATATTTGAAGTCTTTAATTGTTTGCTATTGGGTAAAAAGCTGTACAGATGCACTTTATGTAGGACTCTTGAGTCACAATTTTATAATTAGAGTTATAAGCACACACACACACACACACACACACACACACACACACACACACACACAACCACACACAAACAAACCTCTTTCTTATTTAATAAGAGGAACTT